GTGCACCTTGACCTATAGTCATGCTGGCCACATGACCACGGAAATATCTTCAGATAACACTGACTTCCATGCTAAGAAATGGAGATGACCACCACCCCCGAGTCAGAAGTGATTGATAGGGGACACCTTTACCTGTATTCCTAACCTATGTGAACCCAGCCTAGATTTGTCAGGGCTTGGGAACATAAAGGGGCAGGCTGCTATATAGTGCTAGCCAAGACCAGCTAGCCATTGTAGAAAACAGAATATCGGACTAAAATAGAAACATGAGCTGACCCAGAGAAACAAATCTTATCTTCTTAAAAGCACTTGTTATGTTGTAATGGAACAGGCTGAAAGACATTACCTGGTTCTCCATTGCTATAGTCAATATCACCACTTTTCAGCTTTGGATTCTCATAGCTAATATCCCTTTCTTCCCCTTGCTCTCCTTCAAGCAGTTGAGGCTTTTCTTCTAAGAGTTGGAGAGACAGAGTCAATATACAGCGCCGTTGTTTTTTTTTATAGATAAGTTTTATTGAAAACAATTTCTTTTCATCATACATATTTTATGAACAGAGTGCTGACCAGGTCACATCTTAAACATCTTATATATATCAAAATCATCATTATAATATATCTTAATCTTCCCATTTTTCCCAATATTCATCTCTTTTATACATCCTTTATTACAAATTTTATAATTTTTCTCCATCTCTTCTTATTTCAACTTCTGCCATATTATTTTCTTTCCATCATTTTTTATCCTTTTCAATTTTTTTAAATAACATCACTTTATGTCTTATGCTTCTTCTCTATTACAATCACTCCAATTGTTTACTTTCTTCCTTCATTTCCGGAAGTGTCTCTCTAATTCCCTACCCAATCATAAACAATAAAACATTCATCTTAATTTCCATTATTATCAAAATTAATGATATTCTTATATTACTTATTTTCACCTTTCCATCTGCTGTGGTTTGTCACAAACATATTTTATTCCTTCTTTTTTACATAAATAGTCACTTTCATAATTTCAGCCTCATTTTTCTTTTACAATTAACATTTTTTACATTGATATCAAAATTAATATTATCAAATTACTTTTCACGTTTCTAGCTATTAAAATTTAATGTAGACAAACTCTATTCATTCCTCTTTATCATATATTCACTTATAATCATTTTCCACCATATCTTATTTTTTCCACTTCTACCATATTATTCTTACATATTTCTTAGGCATTTCATTTTCAATGCTTTCATCTAGCTAATATCACAGTATATCATAAAACTCTTCTCTCTTACCACTACTATAATATAGTGCTATTGTTGAATTATGCTAGCATCCCAACAACATAGCTAAGTGCCCCCAAAAGACTGTTTTTTGATGCCGCCTCACATCAAGTGAGTCAATTTTTATAGGAATCAAGCAAGACTCGTGCAATAATGCAAGTCTGCATGAACTGCCTATGAGGCTATTACTTCCTAATTAGAGCAACTTTTAAAAAATGAACCTGCAAACAAGAACAAATGGCCAGAAGAGGGAACAAACGGTGTGTCACGTAGTTATATTTTGTTCGCTTCTATTTATCCATGTTTCCATGACTGAGAAATAATGCAAGGGGAATGTTTATGGTACAAGTAGTCCGACTTACAATCGGTCATTTTTATGACCGTTTGGAGTTAGAACGACCTCAGAATGGGAGCTTTGCAGTCTGCAAAAAACTTCTGGAGAACCGGTAGTGGAAATTTTGAGCAGTTCAGAGAACCAGAAAATACCATCTCTGGCTGGGCCCCGAGTGGGGTGGGAATGGAGATTTTGCAATATCCTTCCCCCAGGAGTGGGGAGGGAATGGGGATTTTGCAATATCCTTTCCCTGCCACTCCCAAGCTACGCCCTCCAAGCCACACCATGCCCACCAAGCCACGCCCAGAGAACTGGTAGTAAAAAAAATTGGATTTCACCACTGCAAAGAACTGATATCATGCGGTAAACCAGGGATTATAGCCTATCATGTGCAAATGAAGACTCAATCATCCAGGCCAAAAGTATCTAAAAAAGATTAAATCATGGCAACTGGACCAAAGTTTATTAAAACTGAGATGTTTCGTTACTCATCCAAGCAACTTCTTCAGTCAAAATGATTTTTTTTTTTGAGATATAGCTTATCACACATCACCAAAGTTATTTTAGCGCTTCTAGTAGCACCTTAGGTGCAATAGCAATAGCACTTAGACTTATATACTGCTTCACAGTGCTTTACAGCTGTCTAAGTTCAAATCTCACCAGGCTCAAGGTTGACTCAGCCTTCCATCCTTCCGAGGTAGGTAAAATGAGGACCCGGTTTGTGGGGGCAATAAGCTGACTTTGTATAAAAAAGAACACCGCTTGGGGGGGGGGGGCGAAAGCCCTACTAAGCAGGTATATACAAAAGTATGAAGGCTATTGCTTAACGCATTGTAAGCCGCCCTGAGTCTCTGGAAAAGGGCGGCATATAAATCGAACCAATCAATCAATCAATCAATCAAATAAATAAATAAATGGCTTACAGTATCAGCCTATTCATCATCATCTGCTTTTAACCACCCCATAATCCAGTGGCGAAATCCAATTTTTTTTACTACCGGTTCTGTGGGTGTGGCTTGGTGGGTGTAGTGTGGCTTGGTGGGCATGGCAGGGGAAGGATACTGCAAAATCCCCATTCCCTCCCCACTCTGGGGCCAGCCAGAGATGGCATTTGCCGGTTCTCCGAACTACTCAAAATTTCCGCTACCGGTTCTCCAAAACCTATCAGAACCTGCTGGATTTCACCCCTGCCGTAATCCCTTGCGGGTGGAGTCTGAGCAACTGAATGGCGCTAGCAGAGTGTTTACTGGCCAGATACCCTTTCTGTCGCCAATGTGGAGTTTTGTTCAGCAACTATATTCTTATTGTGCCCAGAAAAATATCTGCCTCGACCTAGGATCGTACCCACAGCCTCCCCCTCTAGGCCACCGCACCATTCCTTACAGAGGCAACCTATTTCCCCCAAGAATCTGGGTCCTCATTTTACCGACCTCGGAAGGATGGAAGGCCGAGTCAAACTTGAACCTTTAGGCACCAATTGTAATGAAATAAGAAAAAATAGGAAAAATACATAGAGCAACAGACCGCAATGTTTGCAATTTCGCCATTATACTTTACCAATACTCCATGGTCAAATGGCATTTATAAGCATTATTGTTTTGGATCTGCTACCTGCTTTAACCAAGCTGTCCCCAATGCTGGAAGTGCTGCCTTCCTGCTCGCAGTTTTTTATTTCTTGGTCGTTTCTCTCTGTGGCAACAGCCTCTCCCAATCCAGATTTTTCACCCGGTGGGTACATTTTCAGTTCTGTCACCTAGAACAGAAGACCAGGCGTTTATAATAGGCTTTATAGTTAGTCATCGACTTACAACAGTTGGTTTAAGTGACCGTTCGAAGTTAAACAGCAGTGAAAAAAGTGATTTACGACCGGTTCTCACACTTATGACCATTGCAGCATCCATCCCCACAATCACAGGATTAAAATTCAGATGCCTGGCAAGTGGTTCAGATTTATGACGGTTGCAGTGTCCCGGGATCACATGATCCCCTTTTGCAAACCTTCTGACAAGCAAAGTCAACAGGGGAAAGCCAGATTCACTTAATGACCGTGTTCCTAACTTATCAACTGCAGTGATTCGCTTACCAACGGCAGCAAGAAAGGTCAGAAAACCTATTTTTTCCCCACTCCCAGCAACCGTATGAGGTCAATGACAGCTAGTCCTTGACGTATGACCACAACTGAGCCCCAAATTTCCATCGTTAAGCGAGACATTGAGCTTTGCCCCGTTTCACGACCTCCCTTGCCACCGTCGTTAAGCGAATCACCCACAGTTGATCATTTAGTGACCCGGTTGTTAAATGAATCTGGCAGAAAGGACCACGTGATCTTGAGGACAACTGCAACCGTCATAAGTGGGAGCCCCTTGCCAAGCATCACCTGACCGTGGGGTTGCCGCGGAAGGTCGTTGAGTGTGAAAAATGGCCGTCAAGTCCCTTTTTTTTCAGTGTCACTTCGAACGGTCACTAAACGAAACGTTGTAAACTGAGGACCTCCAATATTCAATCAATGATTTTTTTTTTACAGTGTGTGAATAACGGATGATCATTATGCGTCCCTGCTGCCTCACTCTCTCCTCAGCGGGCCATCCTTCCTCCCGCAGCGGAATAACCGCCTCCGACCGCCGCCGCCTCCTTTCCCGGCTTCAAACGGCTCCAGGACAACCGTTTCTCCGTTTCCATGACGACGACGCACCACGCAAGGGTCCGCGCACGCGCTCTCCCGGGCCAGGTGGTCTCGCTAAGCCCCGCCTTCTTTCCCGACTGAGGCGTCCCTTGCTCTTCCAGTCCCGAGCGCTCCAAAACAAGGGCCATAGAGATGTGAAAAGTCTAGACTCGCGTCCCACGCTTCGAACCACATTGCGGGTTCCCGTATCGGAAACCCAGTCAGCAAACTTCAGTGGGAAAGAGAGAAGTTAGTGGTCCCCACAGGGGGGGAAGTCAAGACTTCTTCTCGAGTCTTCCCTAATTAAATTGTAAAAGAAAAAAAAACTTTCCTAATTGTCCTAGTTATAAATCTTGTAACTCTTCCCCTGAACCAGCTATAAATCTCCTGAAAGATACGTATAACAGCGTCGCTATAAATGGTTAAAGTCCCTCCTCCAGATCAATTCATGACAATATTCGATTGCTTTAAATAGTTCTATTTCGAAAAGAGTCTCCAAGGGGTCAAGTAGAAACACGGTGTCTTTAAATTCTATATTTTTTTTTTGTATTACACCGCGTTCAGGACCTGGAAGCTGGACATTTTGGAGGAGGAGGGGGGGAAAAAAGCGTCCTAAGGTTACATGGAAAAAATGGCTTGTCAATCCTACGGAATTGGATTCAGGGACCGTTACATTAGCCGGCTCCTTTGTAAACTCCGCGTTCCGGGTTTTCCTACTAGCTAGAATACAAGCTAGGTTTAAAAGAAAGGTTTTTAACCAATGGCAAAATTGGATTAAGAGGGAAGTTACAATCCTGCAGATGTTATATTGTGATGCAAAGCCCACCTGCATCCTAGAACACCTGGTAAGATCAATACAAACCAAAAGAAAATTGGGGATTTGTCCTTGTCTCTTTGCATTTTAAAAGCAATGACGGATGAGTCTGCTTATTTTTGCATCCTATTTTTGCATACAGTTATAATTGATTCATTATGTTAATTGCTTAAAAATCACGATTGAATAATCGTGTTAGAATAATTGCCTGCCGCAATTAGAAAAATGTAAATTTCCGGGTCATTCCTTGAGCTAGCAAACTAGCAACCCCAAAGGATTCAAAGCAAAAATGGCATGGTTTTTTTAAAAAAATAATTGTTTGGACGGTGTTCCTGCCAGAAACCCAATTGCCATTGGATTAAGGGGCTCTGATTTCTAAGTAAATGGACATAAATCAGCCAGGTTGAGCTTGATTCAGCAATGGGGGGGGAGGGCCAGGTGGGAGAGTTCAGTTGGGGTTTATAGGAGGGAAGGGGGAAAAAAAAAGCCCTTTCAAAGAGATTCTGTCTTAATTGGCTTGCCTTAATCAGCCTAGGAATTAATTCTTGCTGTTCTCAAGAGGATGCTTATGCCCTGCTTTTGCAATGATGGTGTGCCTTTGAAAAAAGATGTCGTTTATGAGTTTTGCTAACATGCCAGTCACTTGCCGGCTAAATGGGCAAAGAATGGCAAAATAGATGTCTTCCCCAAAATAAGACATCCCCTGATAATAAGCCCAATCGGGCTTTTAAGCTCATGGCAATAAGGCCAAGCGCTTATTTCAGGGTTCAACAAAATATAAGGCAGAGTCTTATTTTTGGGGAAACATGGTATCTATCTGTCATCTGGATGGGGAGGAACAGGCTCAAGCTCAACCCTTCCAAGACTGAGTGGCTGTGGCTCCCAGCATCCCGATATAGTCAGTTGACTCCATCACTGACTATTGGGGGCGAGTCATTGGCCCCCACAGAGAGGGCTCGCAATCTGGGAGTCCTCCTGGATATGCAGCTGTCCTTGGAGGAACATCTGACGGCTGTAACCAGGGGGACCTTTTGTCAGGTTCGCCTGATTCGCCAGTTGCGGCCCTTTCTTGATCGGGATTCCCTGTGCACAGTCACTCACGCCCTCGTCACCTCTCGCCTTGACTATTGCAACGCTCTCTACATGGGGCTCCCCTTGAGGAGCACCCGGAGGCTCCAGCTGGTCCAGAACGCAGCAGCGCGGGTAGTGACGGGAGCAGCATGGCGCTCCCATGTAACACCGCTCCTGCGCGAGCTGCACTGGCTCCCAGTTGTCTTCCGGGTGCGCTTCAAGGTGTTGGTTATCACCTTTAAAGCGCTCCATGGCATAGGGCCTAGCTATCTCCGAGACCGCCTGCTGCTACCAACGACCTCCCATCGACCCGTGCGCTCCCACAGAGAGGGCCTCCTCGGGGTGCCATCAGCCAGACAATGTAGGCTGGTGACCCCCAGGGGGAGGGCCTTCTCTGTGGGGGCACCTACCCTCTGGAATCAGCTCCCCCCAGAGATAAGGAGAATCCAAGACCTCAGTGCCTTCCGTCGCGCCCTTAAAACCCATTTATTTAAACAAGCCGGGCTGGCTTAAGATGAAATTTTTAACTGTTTTTAAATGTTTTAAACGTTTTTAATTGGTAAATGAGTTTTAATTGGGCCAAATTTATATATCTTTTAATTGTTTTTAATATTTGTTCTGCATGTTTTTTAATCTGGCTGTACACCGCCCTGAGTCCTCAGGGAGAAGGGCGGTATAGAAATCCAATATAAAATAAAAATAAAATAAAATAAATCTCTCTCTCTCAATCTTCCTCTCCTTCCCTCCCTGCTTCTCTCTCTCTCTCTCTCTCTCTCTCTCCCATTCCCCCCAAAATAAGGCATCCCCTGATAATAAGCCCAATCAAGCTTTTGAGAGTCTGGCAATAAGGCCAAGCGCTTATTTCAGGGTTCAAAAAAATATAAGACAGGGTCTTATTTTCAGGGAAACATGGTATCTATCTATCTGTCATATCTCTCTCTCTCTCTCTCTCTCTCTCTCTCTCTCTCTCTCAATCTTCCTCTCCCTCCCTCCTTCCCTCCCTCCTTCTCTCTCTCTCTCTCTCTCTCTCTCTCTCACACACACACACACACACACACACACCTGTTTCCCCCAAAATAAGACATCCCCTGATAATAAACCCAATCGGACTTTTGAGTGCATGGCAATAAGGCCAAGCACTTATTTCAGAGTTCAAAAAAATATAAGACAGGGTCTTATTTTCGGGGAAACACGGTAGATAGATAGATGGAAATAGACAGATATACAATAGAGATGGATGATGGATGGATACGATTAGATGGATGGATGGATGGATGGATAGATGGTTGGATGGATGGATGGAAGGAAGGAAAGGAAGGAAGGAAGGAAATAGACTGACAGGTTCTATACAGTATTCTATATTCTATACAGTATTCTATATTGTATATTCTATTCTACAAAGCCAGCTGCCTCCATTGTCTTCACTCGTTGGTAGCTGGCTGGGAAGCAGGGGTGAAATCTACTTACCTTCCTTACCGGTTCGGAAGTGCATGCACCGCGCACACCTTCTTCGTGCGCACACAGTCATGTGCGCGTGCACACCTACGCATGCACAGAAGGTAAAAAAACATTACTTCCTGGTTAAAACCAGGAAGTAATGACACCCGGGCGGCAATCGCTACTGGATCGCTGAACCAAAGGGGAAAATCGCTACCGGATCAAGCGATCCGGTCCGATCCAGGAGCATTTCACCCCTGCTGGGAAGGTTTCAAATGGCGATCCCATGACCCCTCAAACACTGCAATTATCCTAAATACATGCCAGTTGCCAAGAGCCCAAATTCTGATTATGTGACCGTGGGGATCCTGTGACGATTGTTAAGTATGAGGACTGGTTATTAAAAGTCACTATTTTCCAGTGTCATCGTAACTTTAAATGGTTGCTAAACGATTGTTTGTAAAATACAGGATTGCCTATATTTCACATAAATTCATCCTAACTGATACCTCTCGTGTTTTTTCCCCTTTCAAGATAATTTATTTAGTTCAATTTATTTAGTTCAATTTCCGGTTGCAATGGCTGCGGTGGACAGTTTCTCCCTGTTGATGCGGGAGATCGGACGCTCCTACCACTACTGCGTGGAGATGCTAGCGGTTGTGGGAGCTTTCTACGCAAGCAAGGTGTGCATTACCGTTTTGAGTGACACCTACGTGCTGATCAGGGTGCATTTCGTTCCACGCATCTTTGGCCGGCCTGACTTAAGCAAGCGGTATGGAAAATGGGCTGTGGTCACAGGTAAGAACTCCCCCCTTCCCCCCTCCTGCCCATGGCTTTATGTATAATTTCTCCGACAAAATAACAAGAATTATAATATTTTGAATATCCTACTGTTAAAGTAAAGCTGGACACCTGCTTTCATATTTTTCATTCGGTGTAGGTACAGGCCAGCGTTTCTCAACCTCAGCAACTTTGAGATCTATGGACTTCCAACTCCCAGAATTCCCCAGCCAGCTTTGAGATCTATGGACTTCAACTCCCAGAATTCTTAGCTTCGCTGGCTGAGGAATTCTGGGAATTGAAATCCACAGGTCTTAAAGTTACCGAGGTTGAGAAGCACTGGCCTGTACCTACGCAGATCAAAAAATCTGAAAGCAGCAGATGCCTAGCTTTAGGTTAACAGAAGGATTATTTAAAATATTATGATTTGTAACTTCGTAACTTTAAGATCTGTGGACTTCAATTCCCAGAATTCCCTAGCCAATAGCTGGCTGGGGAATTCTGGTAGTTGAAGTCCACAGATCTTAAAAGTTGCTGAGACTGAGAAACACTGACCTGTACCCACGCAGAATAAAAATCTGAAAGCAGCAGATGCCTAGCTTTAGGTTAACAGAAGGATATTCAAAATATTATCATTGGTAGCTGGCAATTGGTACCTACACAGAATGAAAAATCCAACGGTTAGAATGAAAAGGCTGAGAAGTGTTAGCTGCCAGAGGCATTGGAGTCACTGGCTGAAATGCTCTGATGTTACAGGAGGATACTGGACATTCCAGATACAGGAAGTCCTCAACTTACAACCATTTGTTTAGTGACTGTTCGAAGTTACAACTTCGGCAGAGAAAAAAAGTGACATATGACTGTTTTTCACACTTACGACGGTTCCAGCATCCCTATGGTCATGTGATCAAAATTGGGATGTTTGGTAACTGGTTCATATTTAGAAAGATTGCGGTATCCTGGGGTCATATGATCCCTTTTACGACCTTCTGACAAGCAAAGTCGATGGGGAAGCCAGATGTTTACTTTACATCTGTGTTACTAACTTAACTAACTGTTACTAACTTAAATGCAGTGATTCATTTAACAACTGTGGCAGAAAGTGGCCACAGTAAAATGGGGGCAAAACTCACTTAACAACTGTCACGCTTAGCAACAGAATTGTTGGGTTCAATTGTGGCCGTAAGTTGAGGAGTACCTGTAGCTGAAATGTGGAATGTTAAGAAAAAGGCTGGCCTGGGAATTCTGGGAATTGAAGTCTTCCAAGTTGCCAAGGTTGAAAAACACTGGTAGATGTTTGGCTTGGCCGATCGATTTTTCCTTCCTGGCAAGAGGATTTCCTGTATCCTCTGCCTTCTATTGTTGTGGCCTATCGGCTGCCAGCCCCATCCAGCAGCCAAATCAGAGGAGGAGGCGTGGGAGTTGGGGTCAGCATCAAGGCAACCTGGGAGCTCCAAGGGGGAAGAGGGAATGGAGCTGGCAGAGAGAGAGAGAGAGAGGCGGAGCCTGGGCCGTCTGTCAGCCCTCAGATGGAGAGTCAACAGCCCCCAGGTCTGGAGGTGGCTGATGAGGAAGAGGAGGAACAGCTGGGTCCAGTGCCTGATGCACAGATACGCAGAAGGCAGAGGAGAGGAGAGCAGTGGAAATCTATGAGCCGGTCCTTGGGATGGAAGAGCCGCCTCTGCTAGCGAAACCCCACCCTAACTCTGGGGATAAAAGGCAGGGGGTGGAGATGAATAGATGTGGCAGACAACTATTCAGCTCCCTACCGGACAGACTTGTTAGCCTATGATGAGAAGGAAACTTTTTGCTGGGGCTGCCGGCGCTCCTAATAAAGGAATCCTTGAGTTCACTTCAGAGGGTTTGTCGTGTTTGGGGAGCTGGGTCAGAACACTCATGGGTCTCTGCTTCCTTGCAGATGGAACCTCGGGCATTGGCTTTTCCTACGCTAAAGAGCTGGCCGGTTGTGGAGTTGACCTCATCTTGATTAGCCGGAACCGGGAAGAATTAGAAGCTTCTGCTAAAGAGATCATGGAGACTTACAACATCAGCACCGTGACTGTCGTGATGGATTTTAGCAGGGGCCGTGAGGCCTATCTGGTCATTAAGAAGGTTCTGGAAGGCAAAGAGATTGGCGTCTTGGTCAACAATGTCGGCGTCCTTAACCCTCTGCCCGATTCCTTCACCAGTTTGACGGAGGCTCAGATTTGGGAGTTCATCAATGTAAATATTGGAGCCGCCAACATGATGGCGCACCTGGTGTTGCCGGGCATGGTGCAGAGGAAGAAGGGGGCCATTGTCAACATTTCTTCTATCAGCTGCTGCAATCCTTGTCCCCAGTATACAGCATATTCAGCCTCCAAGGTATACCTCAACAGGGAAAAAGGATGCCAGTTTGGTGTTAATTTCCTAAACCAGGGGTCAGCAACCTGCAGCTCCAGAGCCACATGCGGCTCTTTGGGCCCTCTGCTATGGCTCCCTGTCAGGTGATCCCACCACTGGCTGTCCTCACCCTCCCCTCCCGGTCACTCCTCTCCTGGCCTGAGAAGGTAAGGGCGTCAGGGGATAGAGAAGCGGCCAGGGCAGAGACATAGAGAGATACAGAGAGAGGGGGGAGGGAGGAGGGAGGGGGGAGGGAGGGAGGGGAGAGAGATATGGGTTTTGTGGTTCCCGGGGTTTTTTAACAACTGGTTCTCTGCCCTAATGACCGGCTGGGTAGGCGTGGCTATGGGGGGGGTGTCATGTGACTGGTGGAAGTGAGTGACATCGAGTTGGCTACGCCCACTCAGGTTTTGTGGCTCCCGGTGTTTTCTTTTCTGTGGGAAACGGGTCCAAATGGCTCTTTGAGTGCTTAAGATTGCAGACCCCTGTCCTAACCGGTCCTTTGGTGAAGAGGACTCTGGTTGGCACCTGAGGCGATGGTTGCTCCCTCATTCACCAAGAGCCTTGGTGGCGCAGCAGACTAAAGCACAAGTAACACCAGCTGCCTGCAACTACTGCAAGTTCAATCTCACCAGGCTCAAGGTTGACTCAGCCTTCCATCCTTTCGAGGTAGGTAAAATGAGGACCCGGATTGTGGGGGCAATAAGCTGACTTTGTATAAAAAAGAACACCGCTTAGTGGGGGGCGAAAGCCCTACTAACCAGGTATATACAAAAGTATGACGGCTATTGCATAACGCACTGTAAGCCGTCCTGAGTCTCCGGAAAAGGGCGGCATATAAATCGAACCAATAAATAAATAAATAAATTTTAACTTTAAGAGTACAATTTCCCTATCAAGAAGGTACTAAAAGGGCAGCAACTGTAGCGCTTCAAGGTATTGGTTCTCATCTTCAAAGCGCTCCATGGCTTAGGGCCCGGTTATTTACGAGACCACCTTTTGCCTCCGATAACCTCCCACTGGCCAATACGGTCCCCCAGAGAGGGTCTCCTCAGGGTGCCGTCGGTCAGGCAATGTCGGCTGGCGACCCCCAGGGGAAGAGCCTTCTCTGTGGGGGCACCCGCCCTCTGGAATGAGCTACCCCCAGGGATACGACTGATCCCGGACCTCCGTACCTTCCGCCAGACCCTGAAGACTTTTTTATTTCAGCAAGCCGGGCTGGGTTAAAAAATCTTTTAATTGGGGAATTTTATGGGTAAGGGGTTTTAAATTGGGGAAGCCAAAGATAAATTTAATCTCGTTTTTATAGTATTTTAATGTTTGCATTGTGTGTTTTTTAATTTTGGCTGTTCACCGCCCCGAGTCCTTCGGGAGAGGGGGTGGAATAAAAATTTAAATAAATAAATAAATAAATAAATAAGAGAAGAGAAGGCAGAGCTTGTGAGGGTGGAGTTAAGCGTGTCATCAGCCTAGAGTCATTGCGTTCCCACAAATGGTCTAAGTCCAGTAAAGGAGAATATCTGTAGCTCAGGGTTGAAACGAAGGCTCCTGGGCACTCTCTGAGCTTGATTGTCTCCCTCCAGATGTTTCATTACCCAAACTAGGTAACACAATAAACGATGATGCTGCTGCCTACTTTGGCCAATGAAATATCTTCAGGAAAACAACCAGCTCAGAACAACCAAAACCTAAATCCAATCCCTCCTGAATTCCATTAGCCCTTTTCTAACGCCAATTTAATATTGGACTTTAGCTGTCTAGATTCTTGCGCATAGAATTGAGCATTAAAGCTTTGAACTGCAACTTAACGTATGGTCCTGATCCTTTTGTGCCTGATAGCAGTTCCCCATTTTGGAGGTGCTTAAGTAGATTGGGAGAAGATCCCATCTCTACCCCCATTTACATATTGGCCCTTTGTATCCAGTTTGTTGTTTTTAATGTTTTAATTTATTAATGCTCAATGTTTTTAATTGTTTTTGATATTTGTTTTATATTGTTGTAATGTAAGCCATCCAGAGTTGCTGGATAGTGAGATGGGTAGCATATATAAATTTAATAAATACTACTAATAATAGTAATAAAGTGGGTTCTTGAGTAGAGCATGGACTTCAGCTAGGGAAAGCCCCAAGGAATCCACATTTTATCTACCAGATAATCCTCAAATTATGACTGTAATGGAGTCTACCTATAATGGACGTGACAGGAGGGAGGGAGGGAGGGAGGGAAGGAAGGAAAGGAAGGAAGGAAGGAAGGAAGGAAGGAAGGAAGGAAGGAAGGAAGGAAGGGACTACAGTACCAAAGTATTAATCATTTTGCCAGAGTTTGATAGCCTGATTCTTTGAAGCTTTTACAACTTGAAAAAACTGGATTTTTTTGAATTGTCCACCCTGAGCTATAACATGGTTAGTTTGATTTTAGAATTGGAGTTTGGGTTATTTAGTGGTTGATTCCCACAGCAGGTTTAGTCAGGTCAACTCTGAGCAGCTGCAAGCAAATAAGAAGCTAATCTTACTTAGTGTTAACCTTGGTTGCGTATTTTTATGTCTTAACAAATTTGATTCGATTTGTTTAATTGCTTAATGGGTTCATGGTTTTATGAGCATCCAGAAACGGAGTTAATTAAGTTGATCAATTAAATATATCATCTGGGGCAGTGATGATGAACCTTTTCGGCATGTGCCCGCTTGTTGGGGCTGCGCTCTGGAAAAGCAAAACTTCCGATTCTAGCGCACATGCGTGCCCGACGGTCAGCTGGCCAGTGCGCATGCGTAGGCCGGTTTTCGGCACTGCCGCGCACATGAAGGGATCACACTCCGGAAAAGCCAGACTTATGGGTTCTGGTGTCCATATGCATCCGACAATCAGCTGGCTGGTGCACATACGCACACCATTTTTCGGCACTGCCACGCATGCGAGGGACAGCTGATTATCACACGCGCATGTGGTGCCAGAAACCCGGAAGACAAAACAGGTAAAGCTATGCGTACCGTGCGACATGCTTTCATGTGCCACTTTGGACATGCATGCCATAGCTTCAAGGTGCTAGTCCTCACCTATAAGGCCCTTCATGACTTAGGTCCGGGATATTTGCATGACCTTCTCCTGCCTGCCTCTCACCATCCTGTTCGCTCACACAGGGCCGCTCTCCTCAGGGTTCCGACGGCGAGCCAATGTTTATTTATTTTTTATTTTATTTTACTTCAAATTTATATACCGCCCTTCTTCCTGGGAACTCAGGGCGGTGTACAGCCAGATAAAAACACATAATATAAACATTAAGAACAGATTAAAAGGAAATATCTCAATTTGACCAAAAATTTAAAAGACATACAAATTTAAAATCATTTAAAAGGATTTGTTAGGCCACCACAGCAATGTCACCTTGCTGTGCCCAGGGGTAGGGCGTTCTCTGTGGGTGCTCCCACCCTCTGGAATGAATTACCTACTGAGCTCCGGACGGCTCCTGATCTCCGCTCCTTCCGTCGGGACTTGAAGACTTGGCTTTTCAAACAAATAGGCTGAGACTGATTCCGGGCTTTATTATTTACTACTAATTAATTATTTGGATTAAATTATGATTTTATTGTACTTGTTTCTTAACTTGTGTTCACCGCCCTGAGTCCTTCGGGAGAATGGCGGCATATAAATACATGTAATAAATAAATAAATAAATAAGAGTTTCGCCATCGCGGACCTAGGGAGTCAACCTGTGTTCCATCCTCACCCCTGGTCCCCTCTTACATAGTCTAAAGCCAGAATTTCATTTCTTTTAACGGTTGTCCCCCTCCTCTTCATTTATTCTCCACAGACTTACCTGGATCACTTCAGCAGATCCCTTCATTATGAATATGCCCCTCAGGGCATTTTCATTCAGAGCTTAATTCCGTTCTTCGTTTGCCCCAACGTGACAAAGCTGAGTAGCACCCTCTCCAAAATGAGCTTTTTCGTGCCTTCTCCGGAGGTGTATGCTTGTCACGCCGTCACCACCCTCGGAGTCTCCCCAAGGACCACAGGATATTGGCCACATGCACTTTTGGTGAGATTTGCTTTTTCTGTCGCTTCTTTTGTATTTTTCTCTCGCGGTGGCTAGGATCAAAAGGCCCAAGATTGGGCAGGAGTTGAAACATGAGCTAAGCAGCCTTTCGCAGGTGAGATTCCCTGAGGGATTGAAAATAAAAGTAAAATAACCCAGCATGTTTTCAATTTAGCACACCACACAACATTAGCTAGCTTTTGTGTTGCTGGGGAGTTGTAAGCACTGCAACCCAATGGCCAGCTTTGTATTGCAGTGAAATGTGGGTTGCGTAGGGTAGAGAGCAGGGGTGAAATCTAAAATTTGTTACTACCGGTTCGGTGGGCGTGGCTTGGTGGGGGGGGGATAATGTGAGTGAATCGGCGTGGCCAACTTTTTTTTTTTTTTTACTTTTAAAAGCATTTTTTCTACAACCTTAAGAGGTTGCAGGAAAAAATGCTTTTAGAAGCTTCTGATGATCAGGCAACTCAGCTGGTATCGCCAGAGGCTTTTAAAGGCATTTTTTTCCCTACAACCTCTTTGGCTGAAGGGGTTGCAAAAAAAAATGCTTTGAAAAGCCTCTGACGATCCCAGCTGAGCTGCGTGATCATCAGAGGCTTTTTTTTTTTTACTTTTAAAAGCATTTTTTCGACCGAAGAGGCTGTAAAAAAAAAATGCCTTTAAAGTAAAAAAAAACAGCCTCTGATGATCGTGTAGCTCAGCTGGGCATTTGGGGGGGGGCAGGGATTTTTGCTACCGGTTCTCCGAACCACCCGCCTCCATCGCTACCGGATCGGGTGATCCGGTCCGAACCGGGAGCATTTCAGCCCTGGTAGAGAGAAATTGGTATTGTGAAGTTTTTGCATTGGTTGCCATATTTATGCCAGGGTTTCCTGAAGAAAATTTCGATTTCCGAATTGCAAAATTATTTCAAGGGTTTCTTCAGGATAAAGAGGTTGAAAAAGGTTGAGCCACTGCCTTAAAGTGCAGTGATAGATAACAGAATACCAGAGTTGGAAGGGACCTTGGAGGTCTTCTAGTCCAACCCCTGCTCAAGCAGGAGACCCCATACCATTTTGGACTAAAGACTGTCCAGTCTCTTCTTGAAAACCTCCAGTGATGGAGCACCCACAGCTTCTGAAGGCAAGTCATTCCACTGGTTAATTGTTCTAACTTCAGGAAATTTCTTCTTAATTCCTGGTTGCTTCTCTCTTTGATTAATTTCCATCCCTTGCTTCTTGTCCTGCCTTCGGGTGCTTTGGAGAATAGGTTGACCCCTTCCTCTCTGTGACAGCCCTTCAAATATTGGAAGGCTGCTATCGTGTCTTCCCTGGTCCTTCTCTTTGTTAGACTACTAGACATTCCCTGTTCCTGCAACTGTACTTCATATGTTTAAGCCTTTAGTTGCTTACTGTAGGGCAGGGGTCCCCAGCTGGCTGGAGAATTCTGGGAGTTGAAGTCCACAAGTCTTAAAGCTGCCAAGTTTGAAGACCTCTGCTGTAGGTCTTGCTTTATTTTATTGCTCAAGGTCTGTAAAAGTTTCTACCTTTTCCTATGGAAAAGGAAGGAATAGGAAGATCTGGAATAGAAACAAATTCTGAACCATTTTGGATTTTATTTTATTTTGCTGTGGTAAACAGGATTATCGTTAACTCTTTAGTTATAGATGAAGTTGTCTTATAAATTCTTCTGTGTGGAAAAAAAAAAACCCTTTCTTTTATCTTGCAGATGATTTTTGCAAGGTTTGTCCCTGAATGGTTCTGGGCTTGGATGGTACCCAGAATAAAATATTGCCAGAAGTCACTTTGAAAAAAAAATATGCCTGTGAAGATCTTGCCTTGAGCACCGATAACATCTGGAAGATTAGACGGACTGTAGCTGCAAAATCCTGATTTCTTTGCAGGAATCCTTTCTTGCTTGCGTTATTTCTTTGAAATCATGTACTCAAGACTCGAAGGAAGTTTAGTTTGGACGTAGCTGAAAGAAAACACTTGAAACAAACTTTTAGAGAGCTGGTATAGTATTCTCCACCCCAACTCTCCATCATTTATGTAGCGTTCTTCTTGGCTCCTCAGTGAAAGACACAAGAAACCTGTGGATGATGGAGAAATTGAGTTGTTGAAGAACTTGGGTTCCAGAAGAGCAAAAAAAAAAAAAGAAAGAAAAATCTGCCAATAGGGCATTGTAGATCAACTTTCTCCAACCTCGTGCGCTGGGCTACAACGCTCATCAACCCCAACTGAGTTCCCTCTGGTGGGAGTTTGATGCAACATTACCCTCAAAGCTACCCCAGTTACAACTGTTCAGCGGAGATGTCCTTCTTCAAATCAGTGCGATCTTCTGCTTTTATCAGGAAATTATTGTTGTATGTATGGTGTCCACTTTGGAATGGCCAGTGCTGTGATGGATGTTAGGATCTCAGCTGACACGGCTGTCCCGTGGGGCTGTTGGTGGCCCAGAGTCCTTAACTTTTCAGGCTCACAAGGCTAAGGGCTGCCATACAGGTTCCTCGGCAACTTCTCAAAACTGCCTTGCTCCAGAGGTGTCAGTCTCTGGAACGGAAACAAATTCTGAGCTGTTCTGGGTTTTATTTTATTTTACTGCAGTAAATAGGATTAGTGTGAACATTTGTAGCTGTAGATGAAGTTATTTTATGAATTCGTCTGTAGGGAAAAAAATACATGTCTTATTCCCTCCCAGTCTAGTAATCCTTGATTTTGATTTTGATTTTATTGGATTTATATACTGCCCTACTCCCGAAGGACTCAGGGCGGTGAACAGCCACAGAATAAAACACATAAATACAAAAATTTAAAATAGAATAAAAACAAATTAAATAATTTAGCTGAGACAAATTTAAAATACCCAATAATTTAAAAACAAATTAAAATTTACATTTAAAAGGGGAAAAGATTTAGGCCAGGCCAGCTTGATGAAATAAGAAAGTCTTGAGCGCGCGATGGAAGGTGCGCAGATCCGGGATCCTCCGTATCTCCGGGGGGAGGTCATTCCAGATCGTAGGTGCCCCCACAGAGAAGGCTCCATCCTGCTGGCTGGAAGGGAAGAGAGTGGTAATATCTAAAGCAGCGGTCACCAACTGGTGGTCCGTGGACCACCGGTGGTCTGTGAGAAAATTTTGGTGGTCCACAGAAAAATAATTTGCATTTTTGATATTGCACTAAATCAGGGGTCCTCAAACTACGGCCCCTGGGACAGATACGTGCAATGAACGTTTGTGTTGCTGCAGAGAGTCTCCCCCTTCGGGGTCTTCTTGTGTGGGTCGGAGGGGGGCAGAAATTCCGACTTGGGGTCTGTTTTAGCTTCCTGGTGTGGGGCTTTGGGCGAAGGCTGGAGGGAAGTGCCGTTGGTGGCGAAGAGCCAGAGGCCCTCGTTCCGGTGGAACTACATCACGGCCTGGAACTGGCTGACCATCTCAGCCCGCTGAGCCTCCAGGTGCCAGCGCCTGGCCTTGCACTCCCGCAGGTCTTCCCTCTGCTTGGAAAGCCTATGCTTCTAGTCCTCAGCGAGGTGCTTCTGCTGAACCTCCTTCTTGGCCAGATCCAATTTGAACTGAGCCAGCTGTTTTGCCAACTCTTTCTCATGGTGGCTGCTTAGTTCCAGCAACTGCTTCCTGTTGGGGCCCTAAGGAGCCTGGGTGGGGAGGCGAGGAGTGGCTGGGAAGGAAGGAGTGAGTAGAGGACGGCAAGGCGCCCCTCGACATGAGTGACATTGAGTTGGCCATCGAGTTGGCCACGCCCACCCAGTCACATGACCACCTGGCCACGCCCACCCAGCCAGTCATTAGGCAGATCATATTAGTGGTCCATGGGATTTAAAATTATGAATTTAGTGGTCCCTGAGGTCGAAAAGGTTGGGGACCCCTGATCTAAAGTGTATCTAAAGTGGGTCGATCAATCAGTTGTAAGAGGGTCCTGAACAATTTGACTTAAGCATCAATTTAGGCTTAGTTTCTGTGAAAGCTGTCACAGAAATGTGGGTCTTCTCCGCAGACAGAATGTGGCTGATAGAACTGTTTGCAGGTGGCCTCTTTTGAGTTTGATGTGCCGTCTGAAATCGGGGCACAGTTATTTTCAGATTCTGAGTTACTTGAGTTTGAGGGGGGGGCCTGACTCCTCTTTTTTGTAGCCTTAGAGACCATCAAACCAGGATTGGTAAAAACAAACGGCTCTGTTTCCCAAAATTTTTGGGACAGGACACATAGGAATGAAAACCGTTATAGCGGTGTAAAAGTAAAGCAGCTTAATAAGGGTTATAAACAGTGCTAGCAGCTGTAGACCCATATTGTATATCCTGTTTAACCCTGATTTGTGAACCATGGTTTATTTAGTGAATAAATAAAACGGGTGAAATCCAGCAGGTTTTGACAGCTTCTGGAGAACCAGCAGCAGAACCAGCAAATAGCACCTCTGGCTGGTCCCAGAATGGGGTGGGAATGGAGATTTTGCAATATCCTTCCCCCAGGAGTGGGGAGGGAATGGAGATTTTGCAGTATCCTTCCCCTGCCACACCCACCAAGCCACACCATGCCCAAGCCATGCCCACAGAACCGGTAGTAAAAAAAATTGGATTTCACCACTGAAGTAAACCCACTTGCTTGGTATCACACAGCCATAAACATGTTGGACGAACTCTTTACTTAATATTCTAAAACAAAGGCAAAAATGCCACAGCATAGGTTGCTAATTTATTACCCTGTTTCCCCTAAAATAAAACATCCCCTGATAATAAGCCCAATCGTGCTTTTGAGCGCATGGCAAAAGGCCAAGCGCTTATTTCAGGGGTCAAAAAAAAATAAGACAGGGTCTTATTTTCGGGGAAACACGGTAGATGTCATAACGAGCTCCCAAAATTGTGAGCTATCTAACCCCATTAATAAATTCATACCTTTTTTTTTTCTTCAGCTAGCAGATTTGCTGGCTGTGCAAAACTATTTAAAAAGATAAGCCAGAAATTACTTAGTCCTCAAAGCAAATAGAGGGAACCTTCTGTTTTCTAGCAAGCAGTACTTTCTACCATGTATTATACCTGGAATTATAGTCATGATATCAAACTGAACTGGATCATATTTTATTCTTTTAGAGTCTTAGCCATAATGTCAAGTAGTGGTTTGAACTGATGTGTGTTTGCTCTAGTAAAGGCTTACACCTATGGAAATACTTGTGTTTCGTGTGTGTGTGTGTGTGTGTGTGTGTGTGTGTGTGTGTATATATAGATAGATAGATAGATAGATAGATATAGATATGTATGTGTGTGTGTGTGTGTGTGTGTGTGTGTGTGCGCGCATATATATATATATATATATATTACTTTGTTTCCATTAGGACTAACAATCACAACAGTTAATGGAAATAAAACAGAAGCTAAACCATAGAGTTTAAAAAATAGCAATAGAGTAATTAAGAATATAAAAGATAAAATATAGAATAGAATAGAATAGAATAGAATAGAATAGAATAGAATAGAATAGAATTCTTTATTGGCCAAGTGTGATTGGACACACAAGGAATTTGTCTTGATGCATATGCTCACAGTGTACATAAAAGAAAAGAATCATAAGGTACAACACTTAATGATAGTCACAGGGTACAAATAAGCAATCGGGAAACAATATCAATATAAATCATAAGGATACAAGCAACAAAGTTACAGTCATACAGTCATAAGTGGAAGGAGATGGGTGGTGGGAATGATGAGAAGATTAATAGTAGTGCAGACTTAGTAAATAGTTTGACAGTGTTGAGGGAATTATTTGTTTAGCAGAGTGATGGCATTGGGGAAAAACCTGTCCTTGTGTCTAGTTGTTCTGGTGTGCAGTGCTCTATAGTGTCATTTTGAGGGTAGGAGTTGAAACAATTTATGTCCAGGATGCGAGGGGTCTGTCAATATTTTCACAGCCCTCTTTTTGACTCGTGCAGTATACAGATCCTCAATGGAAGGCAGGTTGGTAGCAATTGTTTTTTAGATGAATTTAGATGAATTTACATGGGAGAAAGATGTATGAATTAAAATATTTTCTGCATTTTGGACAGAATGGCAAAACAGAACGATTTTAATATCTAAATATATAATATTCCCGAGCATCCTTTTTCCGAACAGAATAAATGCAAGTAGAACAGAACAGAACAGAACACAATAGAATCATACAGCTGGAAGGGACCTTGGAGGTCATCTAGTCCAACTCCCTGCTCAAGCAGCAGACCCTATACATTTCAGGTAAATAGTTGTCCAATCTCTTCTTTAAAACCTCCAGTGCGACAGGGATGAAATCCAGCAGGTTCTGACAGGTTCTGGAGAACTGGTAGTGGAAATTTTGAGTACTGCGGAGAACTGGCAAATGCCACCTCTGGCTGGCCCCAGAGTGGGTGAGAATGGAGATTTTGCAATATTCTTTCCCCAGGAGTGGGGAGGGAATGGAGATTTTGCAGTATCCTTCCCCTAGAGTGGGATGGGAATGGAGATTTTACAATGTCCTTCCCCTGGAGTGGGGAGGGAATGGAGATTTTGAAGTATCCTTCCCCTGGAATGGGGTGGGAATGGAGATTTTGCAGTATCCTCCCCTGCCACGCCCACCAAGCCACGCCCACAGAACCGGTAGTAAAAAAATTTGGATTTCACCACTGCAGTACAATAATAATCACCTTGCTTGTATAAACGTTTATTATATATGATCATATAGAATAACAGGTGACATGGCAGCGTGTCAACTCCAATATTCGCAGTTGCTGTGAGGAAAATTCCTATCTAACTTAAGCTTTTTAATCAAGTTGGATACTGTACTTTTCAGAGGCTTCCAACTTGCAATTCCTATTATTCACAGCAATGCCGCTGAAAGGTGCTGGGAGTTGTAGTCCACAACAAATGGTTTCCCGGTTAGGAGGAAAGCTGCCGGCGTGCCCTTCATTTGCCTTCCAGACTACACGTCCCACAAGGCATAGCGGCGCCGTCCGCCCGGCCGACGGCGCGCTCGCTCACTGAAAAAGGCCCCGTGCGGCCACCGTCCCTTGGCTCTTAAAAACGCAACTCCTCCTGCGCGTTGGGAAATGTAGTTCTTCCGGCCGTCCAGTTCTTCATGGGGGAACGGCGCCGGGACTACACATCCCGGCAGGCACCGCGCTTGACCGTCGCCCGTTTTTTTTTTCTCTTCATGGAAGGAGCTTCTCGGACGCTACTTGGACCGAGCGGAGGCTCCGGCTGAGGGGAAGGAAGAGCCGCGCTCGGAGCTCGTGGCGCCAAGCCGGAGGCCCCGAAGCGTTGAGGCGGCGGGTAAGTCGGAGCGGGCCTGGGTGGGGTGAGGGAGCGGGCTGAGAGGACTCCGCGGCCCTTTTTAGGCCCCGGTTGGACTTCGCGGCCCGGTTCGGCTCCCAAGGAAGGAATGAAGGAGGGATCGGTCCGAGGCTGCAGGTTTCCCCCAGTCAGGAGGTCAGAGGGGGCTGGGAAAAGGGCGGGATCGGGAATAAGGGCAGTCCTCGACTTACGACCGCGACGGAGCCCAACGCTTCCGTTGCTAAGCGAGACAGTTGCTAAGCGAACCCATGTCCCGCTTTACGACCTTTCTCGCCCCAGTGGTTAAGCGAGTCACTGCGGTGGTTGAGGGAGTACCACGGTGGTTAAGTGAATCCCCATTGACTTTGCTTGTGAGCCGTTTCGCAAAAAGGGGATCTACGCTGCGGCTCGCCGTAAAGGCGAGTCACTTGGCCCCAGCGTCCCAATGCAAACCGCGTGACCGTGGGGAAGGGCTGCAACGGTCATAAGGTAGGAGCGAAAGGGGGGGTCAAAAGTCAATTTTCGGTGGGGGGAGGGGCCGGTGCTGTTGTGACTTCGAACGGTCGCTAAGTGAGCTGTCGTAAGTCGAGGACTGCCTGCAGTGGGGTTGGGGAGAGCAGGCTGGGGTTCCCAGCACGATCCCCGGTGCAGATCCAGGCATCGGGTGAGCTTTGGCTCTCTCTGGACTTGCTGCATCTCAACAGGGTTTGTGGATTATAAGCAGCAGGTAAGGACAGCTGAGAAGATCATAGGAAGACAGGGGTGTCAAACTCATGTCATCACGGCAACGTCACGTGACTATCGGGACTTTCCCCCCCCCCTTTCGCTAAACCGGCTGTGAGCCGGGAGTTTGACAGCCCTGCTCTAAGACCTCTCCCTTTTTTTTTTTTTACAGAGGCACAGTGCCTCAGATAGAAAGTCCCTACAGAGAGTGGTAAGGACAACAGAGAAGATTATAGGAAGGTCGCTTCCCATTATTCAGGATGCAGCTTATAAGTGCTGTGTTCTTAGAGCTTGAAGCATTGTTAGAGACCCCACATACCCACTTCACGGTCTGTTTCTGTTGCTCCCCTCTGGGAGAAGGTTTTGAAGTATCTGTAGCAGGACTACCAGATTCTGTAACAGCTTTGTTCCCTATGCCATCATCAAAGTGACAATAAAGTTGTTATTCTATTCACTCTACTCTAGTAGGAGTAGAGGATTCCTATTCCTATTCCTATTCCTTAATTTAATTAAGTAAAGGATTCCTATTCCTATTCCTATTCCTATTCCTATTCCTATTCCTTAATTTAATTAAGTAAAGGATTCCTATTCCTATTCCTATTCCTTAATTTAACCTAATTTAACTTTCCTCTATTCTATTCCTCTCTACTCTACTCTTTTTCTAGTCTATATTCTCTTCTATATTTCTATTCCATTCCATTCCACTCCATTCTTTGTCTATTCTATTCTATTCTATTCTATTCTATTCTATTCTATTCTATTCTGTAACTCAACTCAACTCAACTCAACTGCCTTTAGAAATAGGCACACTGGCTCCAGCTCAAGTCCGTAGACATGGGCACACTGATTTGTTTATTAGATATTTATCCCACCTTTATTGTTGTATAAGTAACTCAAGGCAGGGAACACATACAGCATTCTTTCCTCCTATTTCCCCCCACACCAACAACCCTTTGAGGTGAGGTGGGCTGAGAGGCCCCAAGTCATCCAATTGGCTTTCATGCCTAAGGCAGGACTAGAATTCAGTGTCTCTTGGTTTCTAGGCCGGCACCTTAACCACTACTCGACCTGACTTCATTTCAGTCCGCAGAGTTGGACAATCTGGTTTCATCTCAGTCTGCAGTTGGGCAAGCCGGCTTCATCTCAGTTTACAGACGTGGACAATCTGGCTTCATCTCAGTTTGCAGAGTTGGACAATCTGGTTTCATCTCTGCAGAGTTGGGCAAACTGGCTTCATCTCAGTCTGCAGAGTTGGACAATCTGGTTTCATCTCAGTCTGCAGTTGGGCAAACTGGCTTCATCTTAGTTTACAGACGTGGACAATCTGGCTTCACCTCTGTAGAGTTGGGCAAACTGGCTTCATCTCAGTCTGCAGAGTAGGGTGCATTAGTTTGAGTTTTGCATAAAGGAGCTTTAAGAAATCATTCGTAAGTCAAGGTTTCTTCTTGTGATTACTTATATACTTCATCTCTGGTTGTTCGCTTTGTAAATCTAATGTGTACTTCCCTCACCAATTAATGTCTTCTTATGTAATTAGTAGTTACCAGTAAATTTCATTGATCTGTCCTCTTATTTCTGTCTTATTCTTCTGTATTATTTCTGACACTATTTCCACCATCTTTTCTCCCAGATCTTCATCTTTCTCCTCAACTATGTTTTGGAAACGCAGGAAATACGAAGCTTTCTCCCATTTCAACATTGCTATTGAGTCTGAAAGTTGCTTATTTAATTGTAGAGATTTCTGCTCCAGTGTGTCCATTTTTGTCTCTACTTGGTCTATTTTTGTTTCCATGTTTTCAATTCTTTGTTCATTTTCTGATATTGTTTATTGAATGCTTCCCTTATGGTGGGAGGTATTGGCCAGTGGAATTTGAAATGGTGGGGGTTAAAATGTTAATCTTCCCTTTGGGAAACAGGCTGTTCAGATTTCTAGGAGGATATGAAGCAAGTATCTTCACAGTTGCAGGAGTGGGAGAGGAGAAGGAAATGGAATATTAGCCAGAAAACACTTAAAGAGTCATTGCAATATAAATTGCCTTCAGCTGCTCAGAATTACAGGTAGTCCTGGACTTACAACAGCTCATTTAGTGACTGTTCAAAGTTACAAGGGCAATGAAAAAAGTGACTGATGACCGTTTTTCACAGTTATGACCTTTGAAGCATCCCCGTGATCACGTGATCAAAATTCAGACGCTTGGGAACTGGTTCATACTTACGACCGTTGCTGTGGCCCAAGGTCACGTGATCCCCTTTTGCAACCTTCTGACGAGCCAAGTCAATGGGGGGAAGCCGGGATTCACTCAACAACCGGGCTACTAACTTATCAACTGAAACGATTCACTTAACAACTGTGACAAGAAAACTCATAAAATGGGGCAGAAACTCACTTAACAAATGTCTCCTTTAGGCACAGGCTCCATTGTGGTCGTAAATCAAGGACCACCTGTATTATTTATTAAACTTGTACGTTGCCAGACTCTCAGCAGCTCTGGCTGGTTTTCCAATCGGATTACAAGGTAAATCGTGATCTAACCACTACTTCCGTATATTGATTGAAAATGGTGAGCATCGTATGTAGCTGTAGCACTTCGACTTATAGGCCCAGCAATATCTAGGAAACTTAAATAAAGATGGAATACAGGGTTTTTTTTGGCTAGGAGGAAAAAAAACCCAAAACACGGAAGGATGAAACTTAAAATATTTTCCTCTTCACCGTTTCTCACTTGTCACATCAGGCAATCGGGGTCTCTTCTCTGAAATAGTAAACAGTCTGGGCTGCGTCGTATATTTATTTATTTATTTATTTGGTTTGTCAAACGTGTACAAGATAAACAGGTATAAGTATAAACATGGACATGAACACATGAAATGAGTACAAATAAAAGAGGGACATTAGGACAGGGACGGAAGGCACGCTGGTGCGCTTATGCACGCCCCTTACAGACCTCTTAGGAATGGGGTGAGGTCAACAGTAGACAGTTTAAGGTTGAAGCTATGGGGGTATATAAGTATCCATCTGTAATATAGATTGCAGATGGATACTTAGGTGACTAAATGCACCCGATGGTGGATATTTCTCATGTCAGAACGATTTATTACAGAGAAAGGAGATTACCCTCCGACAGTTGTGTGTGTGTGTGTGTTGAAGATTGTTCCAAGAAGAAAATCCCTGTGTCTAGCCTAAAATAATATAACCCAGATGCATAACAATTAGAGCCTGCTCATAAACATTTTTCTGCTATCAGTATTTCTTCAGAGCTGCATACAAATTCTTATTCTCTTTGCAAAACTCTTGTGCTTTCAAATGTTTCTCTCCCTCTCTGCCTCCCTCTAACACCCCCCCCCCCACAAACACAAACATTTATTTCATATTCTTTATGACAAGGGTCTCCAATCTTGGCATCTTTAAGACCTGTGGACCTCAATTCCCAGAATTCCTCAACCAACAAAGCAAAGCTGGCTGAGGAATTCTGGGAGTTGAAGTCCACAGGTCTTAAAGTTGCCAAGGTTGGAGACCCCTGCTTTATGATATTAACAGATTTTCTTCTGACTATAATATGAAAGTGATAAGAGAACCTTCAGGGGTGAAGAAAAATGCTCTTGTTGCAGTTTATTAAAACTGATTGTGATTCTGACAGTGTAGTTAAAAAATGGGTGTCTGAACATGCTAAGACATGGCCATTATAATTTATAAACCACAAGAGCTTGGTTCATACAACACACCAAGTTATAAAGCAAGCTGCTACCAGTACTTTTTTTTTAAAAAAAAAAACTTATTAGGTATTAACTTTTTAGATTTTTCCTTGCAAACCTGTGTGCTCTTGCTTGATTTTGAATGAAGTTTGGTTGGTTTCTATTATTTGAAACGTAATGAGAATTTTTGTTTATTCATGTATTGCTTGATTTCAGTAAATTAATTAGAATAGCTTTTTAAAATATAAGGCCTTCTGAAAAACTCCCAGGAGACACTATGCTAAAAAGAAAAAATGAGACATGGAAGCTACTAGGAGGAGTAGAAAGTATTATATTGCAGAGTGTTGTGTGGAGTTATGCTAATGGGGATATGCAAAAAAAAAAGTGCTTGGTGCAAAGTTGAAGTGAAATGATTGCAGCAGAAGTGAAACATGATGTGTACAAAGAGAAAAAGATAGTTGCAAAGAAGGTACTCAGATCGAAGAAGCAGGTAAGCTTAAAAGATAGAAGGAAAATGCAGGGTGATTTTGAGGGAAATAAAAATTTCTTTGGGCAATAGCTGAGGAGTGCTAAATAAAATTGCCTCCTGGAGAATAAATGAAATTGATTAAATGATTTGAAGTAATACAGATGTAAGAGAATGCTAAAAGATTTTAGAAAAATTGTGAGAATAGTAGAATTATGTCAAACAGAGTTGAAAGAACTACTATTAATGCTAGTGTTAAAGAGAAAAGTTATGAAAAGTCTGCAATGATAATGTTGGAAGTTGTAAAATGCAGGTAAAGAGAGTGAGAACAGAAGAAAGTTAAAATAGAAGCATAGTTTACTTACAAAGTATGTAATGCAAGTTGCATAACCACTTCATAAGTAAACTGTGCCTCTATTTTATGTATGTGAAGCTGTATCTGATGACTGAAGAGTGCCATTATTGTTCTTGTTGCACAAAAGAAATGATAACAAGCCTGAAGTTAAGTTAATACATTTGTCAAATGTATTAAGAAAGTGGTTTGGCCAAATTTGAAACTGGAAGGGCGTGAGAAGTGCAATGTACCTTTACGTTGGCAGGGAACAACAGGCAGATAAGATTTTTATCTTTTATCAAGTCAATAAGAAACAAGCTTACTACAGATTTGATGACTTAGAGAAAGTGTATGGTGAAGTGAACTGGCCTGAATTATGGAATATTTTGTGTGAATAAGGAGTTGACGGTTGATTAACCATAGGAAGGCATAAATGGAATGCTTAGTGTATGGACCAACATGGAGCAAGCAAGTAAGGCAAGGATGTGTGATGTCCGCTTGGTTGTTTAATATACTCATGCCAAAAATGTCTGAGGAACACGTGTGTTTGCAGAGGTGTGTTGGTTGGGACCCGAAAGTGTGTGTAGTTTCCTCTGCAGATGGTAAAGGTAGTCCTCAGCTTACAACTACAGGTAGTCCTTGACTTACGACCATAATTGAGCCCATGATTTCTTTTGTTAAGTGAGACATTGAGTTTTGCCCCATTTTACGATTTTTCTTGCCACGGTTGTTAAGTGAATCACTGCAGTTGTTAAGTCAGTGACACGGTTGTGAAGTGAATCTGGCTTTCCCACCGACTTTGTTTGTTGGAAGGTTGCGAAAGAGGGATCACGTGACCCCAGGGACACTGCAACCGTCATAAATATGAGTCAGTTGCCAACTGGCGCAGAATGCGGCTGTGCGGGTGGTAATGGGAGCGACATGGCGCTCCCATGTGACACCTCTCCTGCACGAGCTGCACTGGCTCCCGGTGGTCTTCCGGGTGCGCTTCAAGGTTTTGGTTACCACCTTTAGAGCGCTCCATGGCTTAGGACCTGGTTATTTACGGGACCGCCTACTACCACCAGTAGCCTCCCACCAGCCGGTACGCTCTCATAGAGAGGGGCTCCTCCAGGTGCCGTCGGCCAAACAATGTCGACTGGCGGCCCCCAGGGGGAGAGCCTTCTCTGTGGAGGCACCTACAATCTGGAACGAGCTGTCCCTGGAGATACGGAGGATCCCGGATCTGCGCACCTTCCGCTGCGCTCTTAAGACCTTTTTATTCCACCAGGCTGGCCTGGCATAATCTTTTCCTTCTTTTTAATTATGCAAATTTTAATCGGTTTTTAAATGATTGGGGTGTTTTAATTTGTCTGGGCCAAATTGTTTAATTCGATTTTACTTTGTTTTTAAATTTTGTATCTATGTATTTTTACTGTTTGGCTGTTCACCGCCCTGAGTCCTTCGGGAGTAGGGCGGTATATAAATCAAATAAATCAAATCAAATAAATAATAGGTGTCTGAATTTTTATCGCATGACCACGAGGATGCTACTTGTCAGTGTGAAAAATGATCGTAAGTCACTTTTTTCAGTTCCACTGTAACTTTGAACTTCACTAAATGAACTGTTCTAAGTTGGGGACTCCCTGTATTCATTTAGCGACCACTTGAGGTTCCATTAGCACTGAAAAAAGTGATGTAGGATCGAGCCTCACACACTTATAACTGTGGCAGTATCCCCATTGCCTCATGATCAGAATTTGGGCACTTGGCAAAAACCGCATGTATTTACAATGGTTGCAGCATCCCAGGATAGCTTTTTTCAACCTTCCCACCTGGCTTCTGATAAGGGTCCCACCAGATGTACCTCCCTAGGGGATGGGACCCACAACACTCCTTGCCTCCCCTCTCTAGTGGGTCAGGTGGATGTGGATGTCTTAAAATCTGGCTTTTTTTTTATTATTTCTGCTCTTTTTGTTAGATACTAGGCTGGGCTGCAGACTTTGGCTTCTTGGCTATTGTTTACCGCTTTCATTTCCTCTAACCTATCCTTGTTAGTGAACCTTTTTGTGACCTTACCTTTGGTCCATCCTGCTAAGTTGCGTATTTCCCTGGCAAGATCTATGTGGCCACTGTGTAAATAGCTGCGAGCTAGTTTCTGATTCACCTGTCCAAAGTAAATACATTATAAATACGCGAAGCTCTTTTCAGATTAGAATATCCTGATTTAATTCCTGTAGTGTTTCTTGTTCTGTTCAGGTGGAAAAGCACGTTGCAGTGGGTTCAGTACAGGTAGTCCTCAACTTACAAGCATTTGTTTGCTACCTGTTTGAAGTTAAAAAAGTGGCTTACGACGAGTCCTTGCACTTATGACCATTGCAGCATCCTCATGGTCCTGTGATCGCCATTCAGGTGTTTGGCCACCAGCCTGCTATCTACAACAGTTGTAGTGCCCCAGGTTGCGTGATCACCATTTGCGATCTTCTCCAGCCGGCTTCCAACAAGCAAAACCAATGGGGGAACACTTAATCGTGACCAAAAAAGGCCATAAAATGGAGCACAACTCACTTACAGCCACCTTGCTTAGCTTAGCAATGCAAATTCCGGTCCCAGTTGTGAGTCAAGGGCAACCCGTATATCTGTTAGCGAGACGCCTTCCTGTGATAACACTGCAAGCACAACGGATTTGTGTTGCTGGAAGTCCTCCTTTTCCAGTATTAAAGAATGCGGACATCTATTGGGTTTGCATTGTTTTGTTCACTACAATTTCACTTCGCATTTCTGCCAGTGCCCTTGTAATAGTGCAGAAGTTTAAAATTATGGTTTAATGGACATGATAAGTTGATGGAAGACTACGCTGTTCTAATTTATTTAGTGACTTCAAGTCCGTAGAGATTCTCAGCCATCTAGGTCATGGTTGTCCCAAAGGCGCTCTTTCAGGAGGCAACTTTCTGGTTTTTTCTTTTGAAGACCTTCCGCTTCTCATCCAAGAAGTTTCTTCAGACTCTGACAGAATAGTGGGGAATGGAAGGGTTTATATTCCCTGCAGACAGCTGGTCATTTGCATCCTTTTAGAGGGTCGTTGAGGCCACTTGGAAGTTTGTCTGTGTCCTCAGGGTCACCCGAGTGGCGCTCCTGGTTCCTGTAGTCTGCAATTTTACTGACGTCAAGTTAGTGTTGACTCATGTCAACTAGCAGTTTTCTTGCGAGATTTTGGAAGTGCTTTGCCATTGCCTCCTTCCTAGGGTCGACAGAGAGTGACTGGCCCAAGGTCACCAAGCTAACTTTGTGCCTAAGGTAGGAGTAGAACTCATGGTCTCCCAGTTTTTAGCCTGGTTGCTTTTCTCCACTTCACCAAACTGACTCGGTTTGGCCTTTGTAGTTTGCCTGCAACCAGTGAAATGGTTGTGGATTTTTTAAAAGCGGGAGGCAGTCACAATCTGTTTTGACAATCATTATTCCCAGCGCCCTTCCACAGCTTGTCATGTCATTTTTAACTTGAGCACCTGAATCAGCATTGCAGCCCAGATATGTCAATATATTTCACCAATATTTAACTCATGTAATGTTTGTTTTTACAGGTTGCATCTGAACAGAATATGAACGGTGACCCTCACCCTTAAATTTTGGCTTCGTTTCCACTCGGTCTTGTCTGAAATGGAGTACAGGGCCGATCTGTTGAATCCCGAGTGACCGGATCCCGTAATGAAAAATGGAGAAAAAACGGAGAAAGAAATGAGCCTGATGATTAGGCTTCATCCGGAAAGACTATGCAGACGAGACTTTTGCTTGGCTCGGACAAAACTTTTAACGCCGTCAACTTAAAGAGCGCTTAAAAGAGCAGCTTTCCCTGAAATTAAGAGACTGGGGGGGGGGGGGGGGAGGGAGAGAGAAAAAACTGATTCATGGAGGATCACTGTGTGAATTGAATCCATGGAAATCTGGAAATGAAACCTCCTCCTTTCCTGACCATGCGGCTTGCAAACACCTGGTTGTTTCTAACGGCAATTTTACTCTGCGGCAAACAGCATCTGGGCACCAGGCTGGGGAACTCCTCTCACGAAAGTCATTTATGTCCCGACTGCTCTCATCTGACCCTGAAGGTGGAATTCTCCTCAACCGTCGTGGAACACGGTAATGAGTTCCTTGCAGCAGATTTAATGCAGCCTTTGCAAAATGCAATAGATCTATGTATGCATGTATGTTTGTGCATACATTATGTATGTATGTAGGGACGCGGTGGCTCAGTGGCTAAGACACTGAGCTTGTCGATCGAAAGGTTGGAAGTTCAGCGGTTCGAATCCCTAGTGCTGCATAATGGGGCGAGCTCCCGTTCCTTGTTCCAGCTTCTGCCAACTGAGCAGTTTGAAAGCACGTTAAAAAAGCAAGTAGAAAAACAGGGATCACCTTTGGTGGGAAGGGAACAAAAGGCGTTCCGTGCGCCTTTGGCGTTTAGTCATGCCGGCCACATGACCACGGAGACGTCTTCGGACAGCGCTGGCTCTTTGGCTTTGAAACTGAGATGAGCACTGCCCCCTAGAGTCGGGAATGACTAGCACATATGTGCAAGGGGAACCTTTACCTTTACGTACATACGTACGTACGTATGTATGTATGTATGGCTGTCTCTTATAAAATGAAACTACAGATAATTCTCGACTTACAGCCATTTACAGGTAGTCCTCGACTTACGACAGTTTGTTTTGTGACCGTTCAAAGTTACAACAGCACTGAAGAAAGTAAATTATGATTGTTTTTCACTCCTGTGACCATTGCAGCATCCCCATGATCATGTGATCAAAATGTGGACACTTGGCAACCGATTCATGCTTATGACTGTTTCAGGGTCCTAGGATCATGTGACCCCCCTTTCGCCACCTTCTGACAAGCAAAGCCAATGGGGAAGCCAATTTCACTTAACCGTGTTACTAACTCAACAACTGCAGTGAGTCACTTAACAACTGCGGCAAGAGAGGTCGTAAAATGGGACAGAACTCACTTAACAAATGTCTCACTTAGCAACAGAAATGTTGGGACTACCTGTAATTTAGTGCAAAGTTATAACAGCCCTGAAAATAGTGACTTATGACCAGTTCTCACACTTATGACCATTGTAGCATCCCCATGGTCATGTGATCAAATTCGGGAGCTTGATAACTGGCAAGCTTTATGACAGTTGAACTGTCCCGCGGTCATGTCATCACCATTACTCTGTTATTTTGCATGTGCATTGAGAGCTTATGAACCAGAGACAAATTCCTTGTGTCTAATGACACTTGGCCAAATAAAATTTCCTTTCCTTTCCTTTCCTTTCCTTTCCTTTCCTTTCCTTTCCTTTCCTTTCCTTTCCTTTCCTTTCCTTTCCTTTCCTTTCCTTTCCTTTCCTTTCCTTTCCTGTCCTGTCCTGTCCTGTCCTTTCCTTTCCTTTCCTTTCCTTTCCTTTCCTTTCCTTTCCTTTCCTTCCCCTTCCCCTTCCCCTTCCCCTTCCCCTTCCCCTCCCCTCTTCTCTTTGTATTCTATAGTCTATAGTCTATTCTAGCCTTACCCTTCCTAGCGGGCTTCCAACATGGAAAGTCAATGGGGAAAACTCAGATTTACTTAATGACTGAATGATTCACTTAACAACTGCCGTGATTCACTTAACAGCCGTGACAAGAAAGGTCATAAAATGGGGCAAACCTCACTTAACAACTGTCTTGCTTAGCAATGGAAACATTGGGCTCAATTGTGGTCGTACATCGAGGACTCCCTGTATAGAAAACGTCTTCTGAAAACGACCGGCCTGGCGTTGGGCAGAAGAAGGCAGTTGCATAAAGAAACTTTTATCATGGCATCAAAGGGCTGATTAATTTATTTGCAGTATATTTTTTTATGACTGGGAAAGATACTTGTAGGATTGTTGTCCTCAGAAGGCCAAATAACACAGCTGGCCTTGGAGACTCTGACCTTGGTTAAGCCTATAGCTCATTATTAACTACTTTGTCGCAGGCGGCAAAGTGCGTGTCCTGTATGGTGTATGAAAACTGTTTCGCTCGAAGCTGGAGATGAGTCATGGACTAGAGCAGTTATTTTTTCCAGCTTTCTAATCCTGGGGAATATTGGATCCCTGCTGCGAAAGGCCTGAGTATCTGCCACAAAATGTTGTGTACTACAGCTGCGTTGGGGGCTTGCTGTGTCACGACCAATTAGTCTTTGTGTGTGAACAGCAAACATATCAAGGTGTCCTGCAAACGTTGGAAATGTAACCAAAAAACAGGCACATACGGTATTATCACATGTGGTGGATTGGTGTTAAAGCAAAAAAAAAAAAAAAAAATCTGGGCAAAACTGCATAAGTGGTTAGAAAAGATGATAGGAAAACATGTAGATTTTAAACCTGAACTGTTTTTATTAGGAGGTGTCCTGCATCAAGACATTTTATGAGAATTGCATAGATTAATACAGGTAGTCTTCAATTTACGACCGCAATTGAGCCCAAAATTTCTGAGACAGTTGTCAAGTGAATTTTCTCCCATTTTACGACCTTTCTTGCCACAGTTGCTAAGTGAATCACGACAGTTGTTAGTAACACGGTTGTTAAGTGAAACTAGCTTCCCCATTGTCTTTGCTTGTCAGAAGTTCACAAAAGGGGATCACGTGACCCCTGGGACACTGCAACCGTCATAAATATGAGTCCGTTGTCAAGCGTTTGAATTTTGATCATGTGACCATAGTGTCGTAGGTGTGGGGAAAAGGTCATAGGTCACTTTTTTCAGTGAGGTAACTTTGAATGGTCACTTAAGCGAACTGTAATCTGGAAGAATTCATGGGAAAGTCAGTTTGGTACAGTGGTTAAGGCATCAGGCTAGAAATAGGGAAACAATGAGTTATAATCCTATGATAAATACAAAGCTGCTGGGTAACGTTGGGCCGGTCACTCTCTCTCAGCCCTTAGAAGCAAGCAATGGCAAACTTCCTGTGAAATCAGCCTTGGTGCTGGAGTAGGTGCTCTGGAGTATGGCCAGGGAGAGGGGCAGGCTGTCTGGACTCCTAAAGGTTGCCCTCGCACATATGTGCTAGTCGTTCATGACTCTAGGGGGCAGTGCTCATTTCCATTTCAAAGCCGAAGAGCCAGTGCTGTCCGAAGACGTCTCTGTGGTCATGTGGCCGGCATGACACAATGCCAAAGGTGCACGGAACGCCATTCCCTTCCCACCGAAGATGGTCCCTATTTTTCTACTTACATTTTTTACGTGCTTTTGAACTGCTAGGTTGGCAGAAGCTGGGACAAGTCACGGGAGCTCACCCTGTTACGCGGCACTAGGGATTCGAACCGCTGAACCGCCGACCTTTCGATCGACAAGCTCAGCGTCTTAGCCACTGAGCCACCGCATCTCTCTTTTTTTCTGGACTCTAGGCAGACATAAAAGTGGCAGGAGTGACTTCTGACTTCCCGCTGGTTTCCCCATTGATTTTGCTTGTGGGATCTGGCAGGGAATGCCAGAAATTGTGATCACATGACCACAGCTCACATCCAAGCGCTACGCACCACAGATCTTGATCAGGTGACTCTGGGGGTGCTACGGTGGCCACATCTTCACGGACTCTTCGTAAGGGGCCCTCATTTAGTGCCACTGCAACTTTGAACGGTCCTGAATGAGTGGTCATAACTTGAGGACAACTGGAGTTCAAGCACTTGAAAGGAATTTTTGATATTTTGCTGTATGCCACCTGACCTAAAGGAAAATCAAGGAGCACTAGGGTGCTGCCCGGTTCCTTTCTCTAATGGAATATGTGGATGATCTTGGGTAAAGGAGGGAAGAGATGCTGCCTAGGAAGCAATCGGAGAAGAGAGGCAGGAGCTCCCAATGGCTTGACGGTCAGAGGAAGAAACTTAGCAGAGACCCTTCCTAATGAACCAAGCAGTTGATTGGTGGTGGCTTATGCCTTCAGGCTTGCAATGGCCTGTTTTTATTTTATTCTTCCTTTTCTCTTCTCTTCTCTTCTCTTCTCTTCTCTTCTCTTCTCTTCTCTTCTCTTCTCTCTATAATCAATAATCTATTCTGTTCTATTCTATTATTATTCTATACCTGTTCTATTCCTATCCTATCCTATCCCATTCTACTCTCCGCATTTATTATTTTTACAAATAACTCTAAATAGTGAACATACCCAACACACCTTCCTCCTCTTAAGTTTCCCCACAACAATCCTGTGAGGTGGGTTCGGCTGAGAGAGAGGCACTGTTAATATATCTAGTCGTGTTTCCTGCCTGCCTTATCCAGGAGGGCTGACGCTTTGTTTTCAGGAACATTTTCTCTCCGTGTCTCCTTAGAGGAATTGATTTAGTGCCCCTTCCTAAACTTGTTCCAGTAAAAGGTTTTAGGCCCCTATATAACGGTATGGTTTCCTTTGCCTTTTCTAATGTATATTTTTCTTTTTTTTTAAAAAAAGTTTTTTATTAATAATTCAAATTTTAAAAAACAATGGACATGGTTTGACATCTCCAGTTTCTAACATTTCCATCTAATTCAAATTAATAAATAATATATTCCTTAATCTATACACAAATTTACATATATCTTACTTCATTACATGCCAAGCATATTACATAATTCCTCCTAAACAACTATATCCATATCCAATAAACTTATATCACACACACAAGTTCAGTATACATTGACATGTATATTTCTAGACACTCACTACACCTACTTTTGGCGTTCTTCCTGTTGTCTAACCATTCATAAAATTTAGTCCAGATTTCATAATACGTTGATTCACTTTTATTTTTGAGTTCCAATGTGAGTCTGTCCATTTCTGCACAATTGAAGATTTTACATAACATAAAGGTGTTTCTTTACTCTTCCATTTCTGAGCAAATGCTATTCTTGCAGCTGTTAATATATGTAATATTAGGTAGGTTACATTTTTATTATATTTACCATCTGTCATTCCCAATAAGAAAAAAATGTGTATTTTTCTAATGGGTCCCTTTGCAGAATATATCGTGGCGTTCAACGGCTACTTTTCAGCCAAAGCGAGAAGCAAATTTATTTCAAGAGCGCTGAAGAGCAGCGAGATAGAAAACTGGAGGATTGTGCCCCGCAACAACCCAGCCAGCGATTACCCCAGTGACTTTGAAGTGATCCAGATCCACGAGAATCAGAAAGTCGGAGTGGAGACCCTTGAAGACCATCCCAATATCAAACGGGTTACGCCACAAAGAAAAGTCTTTCGCTCGCTAAAGTACACCGAGAGTAAGCATGTTTAGCATTTCCATGAATTGTTCCCGGGAAGGATTGGCCAGTTGTCATACACTTAACTCTTATCTTTCTCTGGAATTTTACTGTTTCCCAATCAAGTTTGGTTTTTAAAATCAAACTTTAAAAATGAGTTTCGTTTGTTTTTTTTTTTAATTTGATTTATATGCCGCCCTTCTCTGGAGACTCAGGGCGGCTTACAGTGCGTTAAGCAATAGCCTTCATACTTTTGTATATTTTATACAAAGCCAGCTTATTGCCCCCACAAACTGGGTCCTCAATTTACCTACCTTAGAAAGGATGGAAGGCTGAGTCAACGTTGAGCCTGGCAAGATTCGAACTTACCTTAATTGCAGGCAGCTGGTGTTAAATTGCAGTGCCTTGTCTGCAGAGCTATCCAGGCTCCTTTCATTTTAAAAACGAAATTCAATCTAGGGAAAAGTAAGGTTTTACATTTAGGCAAGAAAAGCCAAGTGCACAGGTACAGTATATGTGGTACCTTGCTCAATAGTAGTAACTGTGAGAGGGACCTTGGAGTCCTAGTGGACAACCATTTAGATATGAGCCAGCAGTGTGCTGCAGCTGCCCAAAAAGCCAACACAGTTCTGGGCTGCATAAACGGGGGGATAGAATCAAGATCATGTGAAGTGTTAATACCACTTTATAATGCCTTGGTAAGGCCACACTTGGAATATGGCACCCGGTTTTGGTCACCACAATGTAAAAAAGATGTTGAAACTCTGGAAAGAGTGCAGAGAAGAGCAACAAAGATGATTAGGGGACTGGAGGCTAAAACATATGAAGAACGGTTGCAGGAACTGGGTATGTCTAGTTTAAGGAAAAGAAGGACTAGGGGAGACAGGATAGCAGTCATCCAATATCTCAGGGGCTGCCACAAAGAAGAGGGAGTCAAGCTATTCTCCAAAGCCCCTGAGGGCAGGACAAGAAGCAATGGGTGGAAACTAATCAAGGAGAGAAACAACCTAGAATTAAGAAGAAATTTCCTGACAGTGAAAACTAAATTGGTGGAACGACTTGCTTCCAGAAATTGTGGGTGCTCCAACACTGGAGATTTTTAAGAAGATATTATTAGGCAGCCATCTGTCCAGAATGGTATAAGGTCTTCTGCTTGAGCAGGGGGTTGGACTAGAAGACCTCCAAGGTCCCTTCCACCTTCGTTAATCTGTTAACTTGGTTTAGGGTTTTCAGTCTTTGTTCATTGTGTCTCAGCTACTTCACCAAGGATCTTGCTTCATAATCTAAAATTAAGCTATTAATTGATGTGGGTTTAGAAACAATGTCCCTTCCGTGTGGAGTGTGGAGCCTTCCTGAAAATCCACCACTGAAGGAGGTTTGAGGATCTTTTCTAATGTTTCACTCTCTGCCCAAACCCCTGAACTGGCATTGTGATTTCTTGCAAAGGGATTAGTTAACTGGGGAAAAGTATAACCATTCTGTGGGAGAGAGAAAACAAGATTTCTCTCCCGTCAAGAAATTGCTTTGGAGGTTGTTGGCAGTGAGGATGGTGAAACCAGAAGCTGTAATTTGTGGAACAATTGCTACGCATGGCTTTGTATAGGGTTGGTAATCTTTCCTGGCACTGGACACCTTCATCTTAACATTGTATGATGCTGTGTGTGCCAACGTATAAAGTAAAATTATTTAAAGAGTTGCTCAATAGTGAGATGGACAGCATATAGATTTAAAAAATAAAAAAGATACATTTTAAAATAGTTGAAATCTTGTGAGAGTTCATGTGATAGCCACATTTCTTGAGAGTTTTGCTATCTTGTGAGATTTCAGCCCTTTTGGGGTTTTTTTTAACAAATGTTTTGTATTTTTTATACTGGACATCTGTTGATGCCTTCTGGTGGTGCCATAAGGCTTCGGTTGTCTTTTTTCCTCATCCAAATGTGCTTAAAAACCCATAGGAAAGGGAAGAACTTTTATTTTATTTTATTATTTTATTTTATTTTATTTTATTTTATTTTATTTTATTATTTTATTTTATTTTATTTTAATTTAATTTAATTTAATTTTTATTATTTTTTTATTTATTATTTTATTTTTATTTCATGATTTATTATTTCACTATTTTACTTTATTATTTTATTTTATTTTTATTTTATTATTTTATTTATTTTATTATTTTATTTTATTTCATTTCATTTATTTTATTATTATTTATTATTATTATTTTACTATTATTTTTTGTAGTTTGTCCCAGTTGGAAGATTCTGGCTAGGTTAACAACAGTAAAACGATGATAGTAAACCCAAATTCACTGTTAACAATCCATTCGGGGTTGTTCACTTGCTCCCATGCCACGTGATGGAAAAACCCCAGTTGTCTGTTTTGTGGTTTTGGAGTGCTCTTTCCCCACACATGGCAGCATCCTCAGTGACAATGGGAATATGTACCATCAACAGCTCTTACCCAGTGTTGGGATTGTCCCATCCCCTTTGATCTATACGCCCAGTAGGAAAAAGACTGGGCCATTCCATTCTTTGTTTTCTTCCTTTCCCAGAATATCCTTACAGCTCACGGTGTCCAATCTCTGCATTTTGCTGATAAAGTTGCAGATTCTTTTCTGTGTCAGTTAAGGAGTCCACAAAGTCTTTCGTTTACCATCTTTCAGTTTGGCAATCTTGCTTTTGGCCTTGCGAGAGATTGTCTTTCACCTTGAACTGAGCTTTGATGCTACTGAGAGTGTTATCAGGATGGAGAACCTGCCCTCTGAATCTCAGAAGGGTGGAGTCAAAGCATGCCCAAGATAATCACAGACTGCATGTTTTCACCAACTGCCAAGGCTGAATCTGCCACTATGGCAATTTAGATACGATTAATAGATTATCATCAGAGATATACACTTTTTATGAATTTGTTTACAGAAAGTGAGCTTCATATACAGGTAGTCCTCAACTTACAACCATAATTGGGACCAGAATTTCAAATGCTAAGCAGTGTGGACCTTGGAGTCTTCTAGTCCCATGATGGCGAACCTGTGGCACGCGGAGCCATATTAGTGGGCACGCCAGCTCAGCTCTGGGGCGCATGCGCGTGCCGGCCAGCTGATTTTCGGGCCTTCTGGGCCCACCAGAAGTAGGGAAACAGGCTGTTTCCTGCCTCTGGAGGGCCTGGGGGCGGGGTGGGGAAGGCCCGTTTTTCTTTCTTACCTGGCTCCAGATCCTCTCTGTGTATTTGGGAAGGGCGAAAACAGCCTTTCCCACTCCCTTGGAGGCCCTACAGAGGCTGAAAGGGCCCATTTCCCCACTCCCGGTGGGACAGGAAGTGACGTTTTTTCCTGTCCCCAGCCTCCAGAGACTCCTAGAGAGGCTCCTAGAGACTCCTAGAGAGGTTCTGGAGGCTGGGGACAGCAAAAAATGTCACTTCCTGTCCCACCGAGAGTTGGGAAATGGCCCTTTCAGCCTCCGTAGGGCCTCCAAGGGAATGGGAAAGGCTGTTTTCGCCCTTCCCAGATACACAGAGAGGATCTGGAACCAGGTAAGAAAGAAAAACGGGCCTACCAGGCCATCATGTGCCAGGAGCGGGGGGGAGAGGGTTGTGCACGCATGCACGTGGGCACGTGCGCGTGTGACCCTCCCCCGCCCCCCTCTCCTGGCACGCAATGGCAAAAAGGTTAGCCATCACTGTTCTAGTCCATCCAATCCCCTGCCCAAGCAGGAGACCCTATACCCATGATGGCGAACCTATGGCATGCCTGCCAGAGGTGGCACGCAGAGCCCTCTCTGTGGGCACGCACGCCGTCGCCAGCTGCTCTTTTGGTTTCCGCCGTGTGCATGTGCCCCGGGCAGCTGGTCTTCACGTGCTCCGGGAACCCCGAAGACCAGCTGGCCAGTGCGCACCCAAAACCCAAAACCAGCTGGTCGGCATGCACTTCGAGTGCGTACCCTCCTTCCAGTTTGGGCACTCGGTGCCGAAAAGGTTCGCCATCACTGCCCTATACCATTTTAGACCAGTGGCTGTTCAGTCTCTTCTTAAAAACCTCCACAACTTCTGAAGGCAAGCTGTTCCACTAGTTTATTACCTTCACTGTCAGGAAATTTCTGCTAGGTTGCTTCTCTCTTTGATTAGTTTCCACCCATTGCTTCTTGTCTTGCCTTTTCCAAAGCATCAGAAGGGCCCCTCACTTCAATCCCGAGCTCCAAATATTCTCCTTTATTAGCACATTGTCATCCATTATTGGAATCCTAGAAGTCAACCCACTTTCTCGCTGCACCCCCAACTTCTCCCCTGAAATGTAGCTCCTCCTGATAACTTACCTGGCTCCTACCATGCTGGAATTGTAGAAAGTCTGAAAGTTCTAACCATTCAAAGTTCAATACAATAAGGGGAAGCTACACAAATGTTTTAAATAAATAAATAATCAAACAAACGGAGGGGTAGTTAGACATGAGAAACTAGGCAGTATACAAATGCCCTCATTGGTCAAGTTATATCTCTGTGCTTCTCAAATCTGCAGCAGATTCAGCTACTCCTTGCAATGAGACCAGATGGACGCAGAAGTGGCAGTCTTCCCGCCCGCTCCGAAGGGCAAGCTTGTCTCTGGGTTCCGGGTTTTGGCACGCGACGGGCAGGCACTCCAGCAGGCGCTTGCTGAGAGCAATACCTCGGCAGGTGGCACAGACCCTTCAGGCAGACGTGCTCTGGCAAATGGGTTTTACAGGTAGGTCTGTGAGTAGATGCCATGTAGAGTCTTTATAACTACAAAAGGGCTTTATAATTAGCCATTGCACAGCTAACTCTCGGTTAGAAAGGTTAGAATTTCCCTTTCTAGTACAAAACAAATAATATTAGAAGTTGGAAGAAGTCTCATTGCAGGTTTATTTTTGATTAATTTTTTTTATTTATTTTTTATCTTGGTTAGAAAGATTAGTTTCCCTTTTTTGTACTCTGTGTGTGTGTGTGTGTGTGTGTGTGTGTGTGTGTGTATACATATAAATACATGAAATAAAATAAATATATAATATACACACACACATATATATTATACATTAGACATCGTTCATATTATAATTCTCTGCAGGTTTATTTTATTTTATTTTATTTTATTTTATTATTTTATTATTTTATTTTATGTTATTTTATTATTTTTTAATTTAATTTTTTTTTAATTTTATCAAAAGACACTTTATGTAGCATTCTTGTGAAGAGGCGCAAGGTCTCAGCAGTTAGAGATGCTGAGCTGGAAAGCTGACAGTCCGGTTTGAGACCTGAGTGCCATGCGATGGGGTGAGCTCCCGTTCCTTGCCCCAGCTCCTGCCCACCTAACAGTTCGAAAGCATGCAACTGCAAGTAGATAAATAGGTACCACTTTGGTGGGAAGATAACTATATTCCAGGCCCCTTGTCATATAGTCATGCTGGCCACATAACCACGGAAATGTCTTTGGACAACGCTGGCTCCCTCGGCTAAGAAACTGAGGTAAGCACTGCTCCTTAGAGTCAGACATGACTCGAGAAGGGAAACTTTTACCTTCACCTTTTAAGGTGAGAGAATTCTGGGAGTTGAAGTCCACCTATCTTAAAGCTGCTGAGATTGAGAAACACTGATGCAACCTGCTAAACTCAAAAGGCAGGCAAAATATTTCTATAAAACTTTATGTAAGCATTATTATCTATCTATCATCTATCTAAGCATGCAGGAATGGTTTCTTAAAATACCATCAGAACCGGATCTCTTTCACTAACCTGTCATTGTTTCAACCTTCTGTACAAATAGGAGGCGGTGTAAGAGTGGCTGTCTTCGATACTGGACTCAGCGAGAAACATCCACACTTCAAAAATGTAAAAGAGAGGACAAACTGGACAAACGAGAGAACTTTGGATGATGGTAAAAAAAAACAAAAAACCCAAAACTTTCTTTTAACCAGTTGTCCCAAAGGTGCTTTTTCAGGAGGCAACTGGACTTTCTTGGTTTTTTTCCTTTTGAAGACGTTTCGCTTCTCATCCACGAAGCTTCTTCAGCTCTGACAGAATAGTGGGGAATGGAAGGATTTATATTCCTTGCAGACAGCTGGTCGTTTGAATTCTTTTAGAGGGTCCTTGAAGCACCTGGAGGTTTATCTGTGTCCTCAGGGTCACCTGAGTAGTGCAAATGATTCCTGTAGTCTGCAATTTTTTCCCTCTGGAAATTAATTCCTACTCCCACACCATTCAAAGGGTCTTCATCCCAAATTGTATAGCTAAACATCTGTAGAGATTCTCAGTCATCCAGGTCATGGTTGTCCCAAAGGTGCTTTTTCAGGAGGCAACTGGACTTTCTTGGGGTTTTTTTTTCTTTTGAAGACGTTTCACTTCCCATCCATGAAGCTTCTTCAGCTCTGATTGGATGGTGGGGAATGGTAGGATTTACCGTATTTTTCGGAGTATAAGACGCACCTACCTTTTTTGATTGTTTTATTTTTTTAAAAGTTTTTTTTTTATTTTTTAGACAAACACACATACAAACATACAATGTATTTTCTTTGAACAGAGTATTTGGCTGGTTCACAAATGTAAACAGTGTTTTGTCATTTCAATTAAATTTACAATTTCTATATTTCCTTTTTGCCATATTTATTCCTCATCTATTTTTTTTAAAAAAACAGTATTACCCTCATCCTCATCTCTAATCTTAATCAAATTCAATTTTCCCCTTCTATTCTATATTATACTCCTTCCCATTGTCATCTATTTTTATATCCATCCCCACATCGGGTAATTATGTAATATTACAATTGTTTAATACAAATTCAACATTTTAATATAAATCAATTAGTTATATAACTATCATTTTTGTATATTAATCAATATGAACATGAATATTCCAATTATTTCCATGCAATCCAATTTGGCAAAATCCACTGAACAAAAATATTCGTTTAGCAACAGATATTTTGGGCTCAGTGGTGGTCGTAACTGGTGGACCGCCTGTATTTCCTCCTTTCTTTTCCTCGCCACAAAATTATCTCTTCCCTAGCCATAATTGACCAGACAGCAACACATCAAACTACCTTAAAAATATACCAAAGATAGTATATCAAAGTATACTTTGGTATAAAAGTATACCAAATATAATATATATCTTACTTGGTTGTTTATCGTCAACAGGCCTGGGCCACGGGACCTTTGTCGCAGGCGTGATAGCTAGCATGAGAGAGTGCCAAGGATTTGCTCCAGACTCCGAACTGCACATATTCAGGGTCTTCACTAACAATCAGGTAAAGAGAGGACAGTGTGTTCTGGCCTAGGCTTCCCCAGCAGCGCGAAGCCGAGTCCTCATCCCGATAAACCCCTTTGATTTAATTCACAGTGAATTCCTCTCCCGCAAAGTCTTTCCTCTCCCACAGTCTTTCAAGATAGTTCACAATTACCGACCTTTATCAGGCTTGGAGAGTGGCCAGGCCAATATCTTTTCAGACTCCACCTGTAACCGACAATACTCGGCAAGAATGCAGGAACGGATCTTCACCCAAATGAACTAATTGTCTCCTGCAAACTCCCCTCCCCTTCGCTCCTCTTTATTCCCTGTGGAAGGGGCCATTCACCGTCCACCTGTGGCTTTACTCCTGAGTCGACCCTTAGCTGTTCCCTTCTCCTGGTAGCTCTGCACATGCACACATTGGGAATAGGATCCAGCTGTTCTGCCCCACTGATGTCTGATTCCGAAGGCAGCTGACAACTATCAGACGGCCCTGGCCCCATCTCTGCCTCTGACACAGAGCACTCGTTAGAGCGTTCCCCAGGACTGGCCCATGTTCTTTCTCAACCTCCTCATTGAATCTGCTGCCAGATCTGCTGGTGTTGTGGCCTGCCAGCGGTCTGCGCAGATTGTTGCTGATCCCGACGATGAGGCTGGTGTGCTGCGCCAGCAGCCGGTGCTCGAGTCGGACAGCGAGGAGGCTGAAGAAGATGTGGTGCCAGAGGCAGGGATTCAGCCAGGGCCTTCAGAACCTCCAGAAGCTCCCATAAGTGAAGAGGAGGAAGAGGAGGAGCCTCTTCTCAATGCACGGGCATGCAGAGCTGCCAAAAGGCAGGAGTGGTTCCTCAGGAGGAGGTCTCCTCGAGAGTAAGGCTTGGGGTTAATTGGCCACTCCCTTAGCCTATTGTAACAAGCTGCAGGAAACAACTTTAGTTCCCTAATCATTGCATTGGGATATCTCTGCAACCTTGCTTCTGGGCTTTCTGCCAACTCCAGTAAGACTCTGATTATCTTATCTGTGGAATTCTGGCAGGGTGTTAAGCAGCAGTTGCTAAAACTGCGTTATTCGAGTAAACTAAGTTTTGTTCAGAGTTTGTGTGTGCTGTGTTCTTAGGGATCCGTAGCTGGGGCAGAACAGCTGGCCACTGGCGGGCCACAGCACAGTGGTTAAGGAGTTAGACTTAACACTGGGGAAGACCAATCCATCCCAAGTCGTGGAAGCTTCCTGGAGGCCTTTGGGCCAGTCTCTAAATCTTATCTCCTAAGTTTGTGGTGGAAATAAAAATGGGAGGAGGGAATGCTGCAGGTGCCCTTTCAGTTCCTGGAGAAGAGGCAGCATATAAATCTAACAAATGTAAAGAGGAATCAGTGCAGCATTCCCAATCTGATGCTCTCCAGGCACAGGGAGATTGCATCTGTCAGAATCTCTAGCCCGCCTCTCCAGGGAATCCCAGCAGGGAAAGCATTTTTAGGAATCAAACCGTTGGTTCTCCATGCATTATATTGGAACCCCTTAAAGGCCTCCTTTGTGTGTGTGTGTGTGTGTGTGTGTGTGTATATATATATATAAGAGTTTGCTTCTATGTATCTTGAGATCAGCACTGCAGATCTTAAAGATGGGTTTAAGAGTTTGGCTCCAAATACCAGGATAAAACTCCTATTCTGTTTTTAATGGTAAAATTGGGATTTTAAGGCTGAATTCATTGAAGAAAAATACATTTTTGAGATAAGGTATCAGTTTGGTTGTGGAATCTGGGGAACCCTTCCTTCTCCTTCCCCTTCCCTTTTCTTTTTTTCCCTTTCTTTTAATTTTTCTCTGTTTCCTTCCTATGCGTTTCTTTTTCTTCTTTCCCTTCCCTTCCCTCCCCTCCCCTCCCCTCCCCTCCTCCTCTTCCTCCCCCCTCAGACTACATATGGAAAAATAGAACTATATGTCCAAGGGCAAAGCTCTTTATAAGACTGGGGTCATTACAGGGAAGTTCCCTATCTCCTTAATTTTGGGTAGTAGTAGATCCCTCTTGTGTGTGCATGAAGAGACCAGGCAGACTCCACCTTGAGGATTGTTGTTGTTGTTGTTGTTGTCGTCGTTATGCTTAATATTAAGATCTGTTTCATTTTTAAACAGGTTTCATATACATCTTGGTTTTTGGATGCTTTTAACTATGCTATCTTAAAGAAGATCGACGTGTTGAACCTTAGCATTGGAGGCCCAGATTTTATGGACCATCCGTTTGTAGACAAGGTTGGTATGGGATGGGGAAGGGGAGGGAAAAGACTGATAGCAATTAGACAGTTTCTCCTTTCATCTCAGAAGATTTCGTTTAATAGAAACTTTGGTTTTACACAAAACAATAATACAGTAGCATGGGGAGGTTGTAGCCGTACAGTCAAACCTGGATTGCTGTACAATATAACATTCTCTGAATATCAAGTCTTAATGTAGCTAATCCCTGGGTTTCTAACATCTGGTTGTTTTCATTTCCAAGGTGTGGGAATTGACAGCCAATAATGTTATCATGGTCTCTGCTATTGGAAATGATGGTCCTTTGTATGGGTAGGTGATTTTTATTTTATTTTATTTTTATATTTTGAGCAGGGATGTATTGTTTCAGAGTAAATTTACAATAAAGAAGCACTTTTGCCATCTTTAAAAAAATAATGCCGATTTTCCCCAAATAGCTTGGTTTCTTTTCAATGTAATCCTTCATTCTAAACACATGCTATAACACAATGATGGCAAACCTATGGCACGCGTGCCACAGGTGGCACACGGAGCCATATTGGTGGGCACACGAGCTCAGCTCCAGCGCGCATGTGCAACCCGGCCAGCTGATTTTTGGGCCTTCTGGGCCCACCAGAAGTCAGGAAACACACTGTTTCCGGCCTCCAGAGGGCCTCCGGGTGGTGGGGAAAGCCCGTTTTTCACTCTCCCCAGGCTACCGAGCCTTTCTAGGGGCCTGGGGAGGGCGAAAACGGCCTTCCCCACCGCCACGGAGGCTCTCCGGAGGCCGGAAACGACCCATTTCCCAACTGGGGAGAGTGAAAAATGGGCCTACTGGGCCCACAGTGCCATCGCGTGCCAAAATTGGGAGCGCATGCGTGGGGGGATGGGGCACATAGAATTATGGGTGTGGGCATGCACGCGCGCGACCCCCCTGTGCTCTCCCCGCTTTTGGCACGTGATGGCAAAAAGGTTAGCTATCACTGCCATAACACATATATGACAACGAGTTTCAGAAATTGTTTCTTAGGCAGAAGAACGGCTGAAATTCAATGCAAGCTGTGCTTATATCTCTTTGAAACCCCACTGCTTTCAGTCCAGTTTAATGATGATCTTTGTTTAATCCGAAGCAAACCCAGTTGAGGCCGTGCCATGGTTGGTTTTAAGCATCATTTGCTGAACGAGTCAGGATGTCCTAGTTTGTACTGTACCATAATTGGTGGGTTCACATATCACGCTTAGACAAAAAGTTAGATCAGGTTATGACTGTTGTATGTCAGCCATTAAACATGCATAAATTTTCCTTGATTTTGACCATTGAGTTTTGCAAGGAATGGAAAACCAGCTCATTTTTAATACTTAAAACCAGTTTAATTTATGTGCTCCATCTTTTCAGAATACAGTGTAATATCGGGAGTCCTTTTCATGTACTGTGTACCTTTAACTGATAAGCATAGGAATTATGAGAGATTAATCCAGTTCATTTGAAGGCTGCAATTTACCATAATAACATGGTTGGGAATGTTGAGGCTCAGATTCATACTCTTACTCAACTATTCACATTCTTACATAGTGCAAATCCAGTTTTTCAGCTCTAACATGATGGAGTCCCCTTGTTACCCAATTCACTTACAATCCTAAACCATAATGGATTCATACATCTAACTAAGCCAGACACAAGCCCACCATTTGTGATTTAACATAATGTATGATAAGGTGAGACTTGGTTTAATTTACTTTGCAGGATTATTTTTTTAAAAACCATATTAGGCATTTTCTTTTTTTAAAACAGAGTGAATAAACAAGTAAAAAGCAACAAAGAAGAAAAGGAAAATATAAATGTTTCAGAAATATAATGTCTATAAGGGAACAAAGGAATTGTGAAGTGGTACATATGTCTAAGTGCTATTGCTGTTGCTAATAGATCAATAATTAAAAAAATATATACATTCTTTTTCAGCACACTCAATAATCCGGCCGACCAAATGGACGTGATTGGAGTTGGTGGCATTGACTTCGAAGATAATATCGCTCGGTTCTCCTCCAGAGGGATGACCACATGGGTGAGCCCCTTTGTAGAGACATCGTGCTCAGGATGACGCTAAAGCAATCAAAGGTTTAGCCTAGTGCAGGGTCTTCCATCACTTTACATGTGGAATGGAAGGGAAGGGAAGGGAAGAGAAGAGAATATAGAAGAAGAGAATAGAATATGGAATGGAATGGAATGGAATGGAATGGAATAGAATGGAATGGAATAGAATAGAATAGAATAGAATAGAATAGAATAGAATAGAATAGAATAGAATTCTTTATTGGCCAAGTGTGATTGGACACACAAGGAATTTGTCTTTGGTGCATAGTTCTCAGAGTACATAAAAAATATATATATATATTCGTCAAGAATCAAGGTTGACTCAGCCTTCCATCCTTCCGAGGTAGGTAAAATGAGGACCCGGTTTGTGGGGGCAATAAGCTGACTTTGTATAAAATAGAACACCGCTGGGGGGGGGGGGCAAAAGCCCTACTAAGCAGGTATATACAACAGTATGACGGCTATTGCTTAACACATTGTAAGCCGCCCTGAGTCTCCGGAGAAGGGCGGCATATAAATCGAACTAATAAATAAATAAATAAAATAAGATACAACACTTAGTGATAGTCAATAGGTACTAATAAGGATGAGAAGAAGAACAGTAATACAACCTTAATAGTTAATTTGACAGTGTTGTGGGAATTAGTTGTTTAGCAGAGTGATGGCATTCAAGAAAAAACTGTCTTTGGGATGGGAAGCGCAGTTTAATTTTGTCAGAAGTCAGTGTAAATCTCATTTAATTGATGTGTGAGCATCAAGCCATTTCTTTGATGCGTTTGACTTTTCTCCCTAGGAACTTCCTGGAGGTTATGGGAGAGTCAAGCCTGATATCGTGACTTATGGCTCTGGTGTGAGAGGATCTGGCATGAAGGGGGGTTGCCGCTCACTCTCCGGGACAAGCGTGGCCTCCCCTGTTGTGGCAGGCGCGGTCACGCTTCTAGTAAGGTACGTGCTGCATCAAAATATATTTCCCAGGCTTTTCTGATAAAGCTGCATCATTGTTCAAACCCCAGGACTACCCAGGAGAAGTAAATGGGGCACATCGTTTGGAGTCTGTTACCAAAATCATACCCGAAAAGGCAAATTTGAGGAGGATGTAGAAGAAAAAAAATAACATATCTTTGAGTTTTTATGTTATTTTTTAAAAGTTTATAATTTTTAAGTTTGGATCAGACTTGAGTACATTCTCCAAACTTTGGTCAGGCCTAGACAAATTTTCCTATCTTTATTCTTTAAAAAAAAAAAGGGGGGGGGGGAAGCACTATTCCCTTTTCTGTGTTTAATCAAAGCATTAATATAAACGTCTCCATCATGAATTTCAACAGGCAGTCCTGGACTTACGACCGCAATTGAGCCCATAATTTCTGTTGCTAAGCAAGACCGTTGTGAATTTTGCTCCATTTTATGACTTTCCTTGCCACGGCTGTTAAGTGAATGGCTGCAGTTGTTAAGATGGTAACCCCGTTGTTCAGTGAATCGGGCTTCCCCACTGACAAACAGTCAGAAGGTCGTCATGGGATCCCAGGATACCACAACTGTCATAAATAGGACCCAGTTGCCCATTGTCTTGAGTTTGGATCACAGGACCCTAGGGATGCTGCAACCGTCATAAATGAAAAAAAAAAATTCATAAATCATTTATTTCCAATGCTATTGTAACTCCAAATCGCAAACGGATGTTGATAAGCTTGAGGACTGCCTATACAATTACGAGAGCAGTATTTTTTTTAGTATTACAGTGAATCACTTCTGGTTCATTTACAACAGAATACAATAGAATAAGGTAAAGGTAAAGGTTCCCCTGGCACATACGTGCTAGTCATTCCCTACTCTAGAGGGCGGTGCTCATCTCCGTTTCAAAGCCGAAGAGCCAGCGCTGTCCGAAGCCGTCTCCGTGGTCATGTGGCCGGCATGACTCAACACCAAAGGTGCACGGAACGCCGTTACCTTCCCACCAAAGGTGGTCCCTATTTTTCTACTTGCATTTTTTACGTGCTTTCGAACTACTAGGTTGGCAGAAGCTGGGACAAGGAACGGGAGCTCACCCCATTACGTGGCACTAGGGATTCGAACCACTAAACTGCCAACCTTTCAATCGACAAGCTCAGCGTCTTAGCCACTGAGCCACTGCGTCCCTATTTGGAATAGAATAGAATAGAATAGAATAGAATAGAATAGAATAGTGGGGAGGGGTGGAATGGAATGGAATGGAATTCTTTATTGGCCAAGTGTGATTGGACACACAAGGAATTTGCCTTTGGTGCATCAGTGTACATAAAGAAAAATAAAATACATTCATCAAGAATCCTAAGATACAACACTTAGTGATAGTCATAGGTTACTAATAAGCAATCAAATCGTACTAGGAAACAAATAAAACAATATAAATTGTAAAGATACAAGCAACATGGTTCTAGCCATAAGTGAGAAGAGATAGGTAACTTTAGCACGATCAGAATATAACATTTCAGTTGTTTATGGCTTTCAGCACAGTTCCGAAGCGTGAAATGGTGAACCCAGCTAGCATGAAACAGGCTCTGATCGCTTCAGCACGCCGGCTTCCCGGGGTCAACATGTTTGAACAAGGGCATGGCAAACTTGATCTTCTCAGAGCCTATCAGATTCTCAACAATTACAAGCCCCAGGCCAGGTGAGTTTCTTTCCAAGCAAACGGCTCAAACTTAGACCTTTCCGTTGGATAAATAAATAAGCGAGCTGCAAATCCTGTTTTTCTTTTCCTATGTGTTTCAACACTTTAAAAAAGATGTTGAGACTCTAGAAAGAGTGCAGAGAAGAGCAACTGGGATGATGAGGGGACTGGAGGCTAAAACATACGATGAACGGTTGCAGGAACTGGGCATGGCTAGTTTAATGAAAAGAAGGACTAGGGGGGACATGAGAGCAGTCTTCCAATATTTGAGGGGCTGCCACAGAGAGGAAGGGGGTCAAGCTATTTTCCAAGGCACCCGAAGGCCGGACAAGGAATAATGGATGGAAACTGATCAAGGAGAGATTCAACCTGGAAATAAGGAGAAATTTTCTGACAGTGAGAACAATCAAGAGGAATGGAAGAGAAGTTGCCTTCGGAAGTTGCGGGAGCTTCATCACTGGAGGCTTTCAAGAAGAGACTGGACTGCCCTCTGTCAGAAATCGTGTAGGGTCTCCTGCTTGGGAAGGGGGTTGGACTAGATGATCTCCAAGGTCCCCTCCAACTCTGTTAATCTGTAATCTTAGATAGCTACAATAGACTGGGACCAGATCGGGCGGAGGTATGTATGTTGATCGAGTAGGGGACTGTTTTAAGATTTTATGATGCTGTCTTCCTTAATGTATTGGCTGTGGTTTTAGAACGGCGGTCCTCAACCTTTTGGGCACCAGGGACCAGTTCTGTGGAGAGAGGTTTTTCCACGGACCGGAGGGGACGTGGTTTCACATGCTGCCTGCATCCCATGGATGGGGCTTCATTTGTTTGCGCCCCCTGGTTTCTGGCAATGCTGCTGCCCGGTACCAGCCCAGGTACTGGTGGTTTAGGGACCCCTGTTTCTAGAAGGCAGCTAGTTAAGGAAGACTGGTTTCCAAATGTTATATTAATGGGCATGGCATAGTTCCGTTTTTATGCCCCTTATCTATTGTTTGGCATCAGCTGCCCCAATATACTTTAAAATAAATTTTAAAAAACGGGCCATTATTTCACTGTTAAAACTCAAAAAAAAAACTTCATCTTTGTTTTTCTTGGAAATGAAAACATGACTAAATTCTCTATTTTAGGTGAACGTGTAACATAGTTGTCAATCATCAGTCAAACGGTTAGTTGAGTCCTAAACATTGCCTAGATTCTAATGATTTCTACATTTATTCAAATTCATCAAGAGCATAGTTTGATTTGCGTTATACAGGCAGTCCTTGATTTATGGCCATAATTGAGACAGTTGCTAAGCGAGTTTTACAAACCCTTTTTATGACCTTTTTGACACGATTGTTAAGCGACTCACTGCACTTGTTAAACAAATAACTTGGTCAGTAAGCAGATCCACCTTACCCCCATTGAGTTTGCTTCTCAGAAGCCAGCTGGGAAGTTTTAAAAGGTGATCACATGACCGTAGGACGGTGGGCTGTCATAAATCTATGCCAGTTGCCAAGCACCCAAATTTTGTCTGTATGATGGAGGGGGTGGTTCCAATGGTCGTAGGTATGAAAACCAGCCGTCAGTCATTTTTTTTCAGTGTTGAGACTTCAAAAGGTCTCTAAGTGAATGATTGTAAGTCGAGGACTACCTGTAGACAGGTAGTCCTTGACTTACGTCCACAATTGAGCCCAACATTTCTGTTGCTAATGTTGTGACCTAGGCCCAAGTAGTTATTACCAGACACGATCTGTCCTAAACAAACATATTTTATTAGAACATCTGAAAATTACTTAGTCCAAATTAATTCCAAAACAAATCCTTCATAAACAGTCCTTTGGCCTTATCACAAACCTTTGTCTTCTTTGGCACCCTGCCAAGGGCTTTTCTTGGCAAAACCCCACGAAGTTCAGAAGCAAGAGATTTATTTATTTATTTATTTTATTTTTGAATTTGTATACCGCCCTTCTCCCTGAGGACTCAGGGCGGTGAACAGCCAAATAAAAACATCAAATACAAATATTAAAACACAGTTAAAAAGTATATATAGATTTGGCCCCATTAATTAAAACGATAAACAAACAAAACAATTAAAAAACCCTTAAAAAGAAATTAAGCCATTAATTAATTAATTTCTTAATGACATTAAGATGACAAATGTAGCAACGTTGCTTTTCTACAAAGATCCCAAGAGCCCTTGCCGCTCTTTTAAGCCTTCTGGGAAGGGCCAATCATCTCCTGGCCTTACTCCCGAGTCGTCCTTTTTGCTTTAGCTGCTCTTGCCTTCTGGCAGCTCTTCTCATGCGTGCACTAGGAACAGGCTCCTCCTGTTCCTCTCCCTCTCTGCTGTCAGCCTCTGGAGGCTCCGGAGTCCGCGCATCACTCCCAGATGGCCCTGGCCCCATCTCTGCCTCTGATGCAGAGCCCTCGTCCAGGCCTTCCCCAGACTCCAGGGCTGTCCCATGATCCTCCCCAGCCTCTTCACTGTCCGACTTCGCTGCCAGCTTCGCAGGCTGCTGGCGGACCACAACAGCTAAAGAGACATTTATTAAGTGAATTTTGCCCCATTTTACAACTTTTCTTGCCATGTTTGTTAAGGGAATCACTGCAGTTGTTAAATTAGTAACACGGTTGTTAAGTGAATATGGCTCCCTCATTGGTTTTGGTTGTCAGAAGGTCGCAAAAGGAGATCCCATGACCCCGGGATGCTGCAACCGTCATAAAATTGAATCAGTTGTCAAGCATCTGAATGTAAATGGACATAAGTAACTTTTTTCAGTGCTGTTGTAACTTCGGTCACTAAGTTTATAGTTATAATTAGAAGACTACCTGTATATTTTCAGTGTAAAGCCTCATTGGACAGTGAAAGATAAAAGTATTTCGTGTATCTTTATTTCTCATCACCTGTTTATGCCTGCCCCATTGTATTTTCCCTTTAGCTTGAGTCCAAGTTACATTGACTTGACGGAATGCCCTTACATGTGGCCCTATTGCTCTCAGCCCATCTACTACGGAGGCATGCCCACGATTGTCAACGTCACCATCCTGAATGGAATGGGAGTCACTGGAAGAATCATAGACAAGGTAAGAGCTGGAAGAACCTAGCCAGGCTGAATGACAGCTGCTGCTTCCTCCTCCTCCTCCTCCTCCCCCTCCTCCTCCTCCCCCTCCTCCTCCTCCCCCTCTTCTTCTTTCTCCTCCTCCTCCTCCTCCTCCTCCTCCTCCTCCTCCTCCTCCTCCTCCTCCTCCTCCTCCTCTTCTTCTTCTTCTTCTTCTTCTTCTTCTTCTTCTTCTTCTTCTTCTTCTTCTTGTCACGACACTTGAGGCAATTTAGGACAGGGTCTGCAGCCTTAAACACTCAAAGAGCCATTTGGACCCGTTTCCCACAGAAAAAACAAAACAAAACTCTGGGAGCCACAAAACCTGGGTGGGCGGGGCCAATTTGACATCAATCACTCCCAGTCACATGACCTCCCCTAGCCATGCCTACCCAGCCGGTCATTAGGGTAGAGAACCAGGAACCACAACCTCTCTCCTGCCCCCCCCTCTATCTATCTGTGTGTGTCTCTCTCTCTATCTCCCCCCTTTCTCTCCCCCCTCTGTATCTCTCTCTCCCTCTCTCCCTCTCTTCCCCGCTCTCTCTCCCTCCCTCCCTCCCCATCTCTCTCTGTATCTATGTCTCTCTCCCCCTCTCCCTGTATCTCTCTGTAACTCCCCCTCTCCCTATCTTCCCCTCTCTCTCCTCCCCTCTCTCTGTATCTCTCCCCCCTCTCTGTAACTTCCCCCCCACTCCCTCTCTTCCCCTCTCTGACTGGGAGGGGAGGGTGAGAGGTGGGGCAGCCAGTGATGGCATAGGGAGCAAGTGGCTCTGGCGCCGCGGGTTGCCGACATCTGATTTAGGACGATCCTAACTGTGCAAACTCAAAAGGGAAGTCAGATCCATTGCTCCAATCAATCGATTGAAGTTCATTTAACTTTAGAGTCAGTCCTTGACTTATGGCTACAATTGGGAGCAGAATTTCTGTTGCTAACGATGGCGGTTGTTAAACAAGTTGCGCCTGATTTATGACCTTTTTTTTGTCACCGTTGTTAAGCGAATCATTGCAGTTATTAAGCGAATCGCAGAGTTGTTCAGCCAAACCAGTTTCCGCCATTGACTTTGCTTGTTAGAAGCCTGCTGGGAAGATCAGAAATGGCAATCACAACGACTCCGGATGTTGCAGGCGTCGTAAACACATGCCAAGCCCCTGAATTTTGAACATGTGACTGTGAGGGGATCACAACGGTTGTAAATTCGAGGACCACTTGTAAGTTATTTTCTCAGGGCTGTTGTAACTTTGGACGGTGACGTGACAAGCGGTTGTAAATTGAGAACTATAGATAGTATAATTTAGTGACCGTTCAAAGTTACAACGGCATTGAAAAACCTATGACTGTTTTTCACACTTACGACCGTTGTAGTAAAGTCATGTGATCAACATTTGGACACTTGGCAACTGACTCATGTTTATGACAGTCACAGTGTCCCGATGTCACGTGATTCCCCCTTTTGCGACTTTCCGACAAGCAAAGTCAATGTGGAAGCCAGATTCACTTACCAACGGTGCTACTAACTTAAGGACCGCAGTGATTCACTTAGCAACTGGGGCAAAAAAGGCCATAAAATGGGGCAAAACTCACTCAATAACAGAAATTTTGGGCTCAGTTGTGGTCGTAAGTTGAGGACTCTCCTGTACCTGGGTTCAGCTCTTTCCATTTTATATCAAGAAGCATGGATATAAATCAGGATTTCTTTGCCAGGTCATTTCTTTAGAACAATCTTTAGTGGAGCAGATGAATTCTGCCATGTCATTTGTTTTAATGCATTTAATGCATTGCAGTCAGTTTGGGACAGAGAAATGTTATGTCCAGTTCAGATATAATTGTGCCATCAGATTAGAAAATGCAGTGTTACGGTCTTTGATCAAATCATTCAGGTTTCTCTTTGCCTCAAGGCTTAATCTTGACAAAAAAATTATTTTTAAACAAATATATAAAAAACCAAATAAAAAACCATCTTCAATTCAAATACAAACAGTGTGTCGGTTGGTTACAAATCTTTTGTGCCTCTTCACTCTATTCATATATATCCATGTATTATTATCCTCATTAATCATATGTTTAACTATGGCTGTTACTTCCCTCATTTCATAAAAATGATCCCAGGTTTGAGTTAATTTATATTATGCCATTCATTCTCCTAAATCATTCCAATAACAATACATCTTTATATTGTATTTTATATAATTCTACATTTCTTGCATTAGAAAAATCTCTGTCATATTTCATTTCCATGTCTTTTTATCTAACCATTGGTAAAATAGATCCCATATCTTATAATATTGTTTATCTTCTTGTTCTCTAATTTCAAATGTCAATTTACTCATTTTATTATTCATATTTCTATGCTGCCCACTCTGTGAGGATTCTGGGCAGCTTACAACAATCGACAGTATACTAAATAGCATATTGCCCCCAACAATCTGGGTCCTCATTTTACCCACCTCGGAAGGATGGAAGGCTGAGTCAACCTTGAGCCGGTGAGATTTGATTCGCTGATCTGCTGAACTAGCAGTCAGCTGAAGGTGCTGCAGTACTGCACTCTAACCACTGCGCCACCTTGGCTCTTTTTTCCGCACATTCCATTATTTTCTTAATAATTTCATCTTGCGTTGGCATTTTCTCAATTTTTCCAATTTTTAGCAAACACAGTTCTAGCCGCTGTTAATACATTCACGATCAAATATCTCAATTCTCTAATCAAGGCTTAATCTTAAAAGGGGGCATTTAGTGGGTTTGTAATGTAATATATTAGAATAACCCTTGCTATTATGAAGCTCCAGCTTGGTAACCCACCTAGGAAGGCTAAGCCTTGAGAATATGTTTCTGCCATACCTTGAGTGTTCTTTAGCAAACAAGGGCTTGAAGCATTAATCCTATGGTTCGATGAGGAATATGCATTGCCTTGCAAACTAAAAATAAAATAAAATAAATCATAATGATTCCCCTTTAAATGGGAAGAGAGTGGATTCCTGCCTTCCCACAAAAGAAAGGAAGGAATAAGATGCCTTCTAGAAAACGGGTCAAGCTTTTGCTGAAAAAGTCCATTTTTAAGGCATAGGACCCGGGTACCTCCGAGACCGTCTTCTGCCACCAATAGCCTCCCACCGACCAGTCCGCTCCCACAGAGAGGGTCTCCTCAGGGTGCCATCGGCCAAGTTATGTCGGCTGGCGACACCCAGGGGGAGGGCCTTCTCTGTCGGAGCCCCAGCCCTGTGGAATGAACTGCCCCTGGAAATGCGTAAGATCTCCGACCTCCGGGTGTTTCACTGTGCCCTCAAGACCCTGTTGTTCCGCCAGGCCGGGCTATCAATGTAATGATTTTTAAATTGGGTGTTTTAAATTTTTGGGGTTTTAAATCTGAGCTGAAACTATGTAATAATTTTAATTATTTTTAACTGATGTTTGTCTTTTGTGTTTTTAATAGGCTGTACACCGCCCTGAGTCCTTTGGGAGAAGGGCGGTATAGAAATAAATTTATTTATTTATTTAAAGATGGTTTGGTTTCATCTATTTCCAAAAGGAGTTTAGACTGGTCGAGCCGGTCACACCTGTCTTTTCACAAGGTGGGCTGGCTTTCAGTCGTCCTGAGGAGGTGAAGCTGGAGTTGTAACTTATAAAAGAAAAGAATTCCACTTTAAAAATTCTGTATGTTTGTATCCCCTGGGCTTATTATTGCCTCATTCTATTCCTTTAATTTATTGTCTCTTCTGAGAAGTTGCATTAGTGGATGCAATCCAGAAAATTACGCGTTTCACTTAATTTTTTCCAAATGATCACGTTTGCCTCAATGTGACAGATTATTTGCTGTAACCTCAAGCAAAAATAAAATAAAAAGCAAACCACATAATGGCTGAGTGTGACATGAAACTAACTAAATGAAAGGAAAGACTAGGGGGACAGGATAGCAACGTTCCAGTATTTGAGGGGCTATCACAAAGACGAGGGGGGCAAAGCACTTGAAGGCAAGACAAGAAGCAATGGATGGAAACTAATCAAGGAGAGAAGCAACCTAGAACTAAGGAGAAATTTCCTAACGGTGAGAAAAATTAACCAGTGGAACAGCTTGCCACTAGAAGTTGTAGGTGTTCCATTACTGGAGGCTTTTTTTTTTTTTTTTGAATTTTTGCTTTAATTTTTTTAAAACACAAACATAAAACACATCTTTTCCAAAACGAAGCATTGATTCGGTCACAAATTAGTACAAAACACTAACAATTCTTAACTTCCAATTAACCCAACTTAATATTTTACACAGTTATTTCTCTAAATTCTATCAATTATGCCATTACTCCCAAAACCTGTTACTTAAATCTTAGATCCTAACCAAATATCATTCCATTTTTCTCTTCCTTTAAGTTGGACTTAACAACAGAAATAAAGATGATGATGATGAGTTTAACAGTAAAATAAAATGATTATGTTGGAATGAACAGCCAAAAAATAAAAATGATTATGTTGTAAAGTAATGAAGATGAATAAAATGGGAGCAATAGTTAAAATATTTTTTAAATGTTTACAATAACTAATGATTTAGATTGTTAAAATATATCCATCTAAGCATCACTGGAGGTTTTTAAGAAGAGACTGGACAACCACTTGTCTGGAATTGTATGGGGGTTTCCTACTGTAGCAGGGGGCTGGACTAGATGACCTACAAGGCCCCTTCCAACTCTTGTTATTCTACGTTATACTATGTTTTATGTTCTGTGTTCTAACCATTGTTGTGTTCACTGTTCTGCTTCTCCCGTTCTTTAGTACCTGCAGCCTCAGTGTTTTGATCTATTTGCTTTCTATTTTATCCTTTGTAGCCGGATTGGCAGCCGTACTTGCCACAAAACGGAGATTACATTGAGGTGGCCTTCTCCTATTCTCCTGTTTTATGGCCCTGGTCAGGGTACCTCGCCATTTCCATCTCCGTCGCCAAGAAAGCAGCCGCTTGGGAAGGCATAGCACAAGGTCACGTCATGATCACCATTTCCTCCCCAGCAGAGAATGAGGTTGGCTGAATCTTTTTTAAAAAACCAAACCTTTGCCTTGTTTTGATGCAGGGGTGAAATGCTCCCCGTTGGACCGGATCGCCCGATCTGGTAGCGATGGTGGGTGGTTGTTCGGAGAACCGGTAGCAAAAATCCCTGCCCCCACCATGCCCGGCTGAGTCGCACGATCATCAGAGGCTTTTTTTTTTACTTTTAAAAGCATTTTTTCTACAACATCTTCCGATGAAAAAATGCTTTTAAAAGTAAAAAAAAAAAAAAGCCTCTGATGATCGCGCGGCTCAGCTGGGATCGTCAGAGGCTTTTCAAAGCATTTTTTTCTGCAACCTCTTGGCCGAAGAGGTGGTAAAAAAAAATGCTTTGAAAAGTCTCTGACGATCCCAGCTGAGTTGCCTGATCGGCAGAGGCTTTTCAAAGCATTAGAAAAAATGCTTTGAAATTTTTTTTTTTTAAAAGTTGGCCACGCCCACCCAGTCACATTACCCACCACCACCACCAAGCCACGCCCACAGAACCAGTAGTGACAAATTTTACATTTCACCCCTGTTTTGATGTATGCCTGCTCGATGCCCTGGACCAGGGGTGTCAAACTCAATTTCATTGAGGGCCGCATCACGGTTGGGTTTGACCTCGGGGGGCCAGGGTGGGCGTAGCCAGCTCGACATCATTCGTGTTGGGGGTGCCTGTGGCGGCCCGAGTGCTCTGCCAACGGAAACGGGCTCCAGAGCTCGTTTTCAGCTGCGATGGCTTCCTGCAACCCTCTGCCAGCGAAAACGGAGCTCCAGAGAGCCATGTACGGCCCTCCCGAGCTCCGTTTTCTCTGGCAGAAGCATCGCGGGCCAGTCCTTTGCTGTTTCCAGGGCGTCCCCGTGGGCCAGATCTAAGCATCCTGCGGGCCGGATCCGGACCCCAAGCCTTGAGTTTGACACCCTTGCCCTGGACACCAAACTGCTGAAGAGGGACTTGCAGACTCATTGTATAACGTGAGCATCCCATTGGTTGGGATCTCCAAAGAAGATAACTTCTCACTACACAACACTGACTCTCTAACAAGATCAGAGTTTGTGGTCTAAGAATCTTTAGTATTTTTGAAAGGGCCCTGAAAAGTTGCTTTGAAGTGTTCAAAAGCACAAACGCATAAGCATCCGATACAGTGGTGGGTTTCATTTTTTTTTTACTACTGGTTCTGTGGGCGTGGCTTGGTGGGCGTGGCAGGGGAAGGATACTGTAAAATCCCCATTTCCCCCCCTCTCCAGGGGAAGATTACTGCAAATCCCCATTTCCTCCGGATCAGCTGGGACTCGGGAGGCAGAGAATAGATGGGGGCGGGGCCAGTCAGAATTTTTACTACCGGTTCTCTGAACTACTCAACATTTCTGCTACCGGTTCTCCAGAACTGGTCAGAACCTGCTGAAACCCATCTCTGGTCCGATAACTGAAGGGTATTTGCTTCCTTCAGTTAAAATATGCATAGGAATCTATATGGATATGATCGAAACAAGGCTGGTTTGTAAGAAGAGGAAATTATGAAGAGGTGTTGCAAAACATTGTTGGCATTAACCATGTAGATCTATTTCCTCTCTTTCTTATCTCAAGCCTTAATTTCTTGGGTTTGCTGTTCCTTATTATTGTTCTCTTTTTGTATAGCATTGCTTGCCCTGAAATGGAACAGCGTGGTAGTTACGTCTGGATGGATATTATCGGTAGATTGGATTACAAAAATGGGCTTTCTTCAGGAAATTGGTTTGATTTTGTTTTGCTTGTTTTCAGTCAAAAGTTGGTGCTGAGCAAACTTCAACCGTGAAACTCCCCGTCAAAGTGAAAATTGTCCCAACCCCCCCTCGGAATAAGCGGATCTTGTGGGATCAGTATCACAATCTTTGCTATCCACCGGGATACTTTCCAAGGGATAATTTAAGAATGAAGAATGATCCATTAGATTGGTATGTTTATCTTTATACAGCTCCGATAATTATTAATGGATGATAAGATTGACATATCAAGGAATGCAATTAGCTCAGTGTAAATTCTTATCCATTCTTAGTGATTTTTATTCTGAAGATAATTCCCTGCTTGAAAAAACTATGCATCTATAGCTACATTTCTTCTTGCAAATAAGTACAATGTGTATTTAGGTAATAAAAACCTACCTTTTTAAACAAGGTAAGAATAAACATACCTTTGCTGAAACTCGTGAATAAGGTCTGGCTGCTTTGAAAAAGTCTTCTAATTCTGGGCTGTTGGTTTAAAAGTCTTCTAATACTTTCTAAATTTGCACTGCAACCGATTGGCAATTTATTTTCAAGTTAAAATATAATCATATATAGGAAAGCAGTGCTTATGTTCTTTCAGTATTTTGATAAAATCGTTTGAGAGAGAGAGAGAGAGAGAGAGAGAGAGAGAGAGAGAGAGAGAGAGACTATAAATATTTAGTTTGTTCAGTTTTAGATTTTATTTTCTATTTTTACTTCTTGTAACAAGTTTATGCAGCCTGGCAAATAATGACACTTCAATCCTGAGCTTTTTGAATGTTCTTCCTGTTGTCCGTTTAGTTCAATTTTTGCAATATCTCCTCTTCCTCCTCTCTTCCTCTCCCCTCTTCCTCATCTCCCCCTTCTCTTCCCTCCCCAAGAATTTCATTCCATAAAAAAATAGTTTAAATTCCTGGTACACCAAAAAGCGATTTGAGAGATGATTAGGCTACATATTTGATTTGTTCACCTCTTTAGGAATGGTGACCACATTCATACCAACTTCAGAGATATGTACCAACATCTGAGAAGCATGGGCTATTTCATTGAAGTTCTTGGTTCACCATTTACATGCTTTGATGCCAGTCAGTATGGTAGGTAATTCAAAGTCGGTGTTTATTTCCTTTTAGAATATGCAAAACCTCCTTTGTTTGGGATTTCAAAACATAAAACAAAGATAGGCAGATTCAGGTTTGCATCATCTAATAATTTGCTAAACAACAAACTGTTCTACAATCTGGACTCAAGCATAAAAAATGTCTATTTGAGCTGTAAAAAGGATGTCTCTGAGGACGGATTTATTTTTCGTGCCAGATCTAAATTTTTTTTTTTTTAATTTGATTTATATGCCGCCCTTCTCCGAAGACTCAGGGCGGCTTACAATGTGCTCAGCAATAGCCTTCATCCTTTTGTATATTTATACAAAGTCAGCTTATTGCCCCCACAAACTGGGTCCTCATTTCACCTACCTTAGAAAGGATGGAAGGCTGAGTCAACCTTGAGCCTTGGCGAGATTCGAACCCTGCAGTAATTGCAGGCAGCTGGTCTTAATAACCAGCTTAATAACAGGGTGCCTTAAACCCCTGTACTACCAAGGCTCTTGTGCTCAAGCCCTGGTATCCCTCATTTTGTGCATTTTTGCAGCTCAATTTAAGTGGACAATGCCATCTACCGTATTTTTCAGACTATAAGACGCACCTAGCTTTTGGGGAGGAAAACAAGAAAAAGAAAATCTGCCTCTGCTTCCCAGCAATTTGCCTCCTTGCAGCAAATAGCCTGGTCAGCTTCAGCACAGCCTGATTTATCACCAGCAGCTGATTGGCGGTTGGATCAGCCTCAGCTGTTCCAGGCTGCAGGGATCACCGCCGCCTATCACCGCCTCCGCGCACCCCATTTTCGGCCTCTGCATGCCCCATTTTTGGTCTCTGCATGTCCTGTTTTCGGCCTCCATGTGTCCCATTTTTGGCCCGTTCCAGGCAGTGGGGATCGTCGCCGCCTATCGCAGCCAAACGGTGGGCCAGAACAAGCCGAAAACGGGACGCGTGGAGGCTGAAAATTGGGCATGTGACGGCAATCCCTGCAACCTGGAACAGCTGATAGGCGGTATTCCGGGAGGCCGATCCAACCGCCAATCAGCTGCTCGTGCTAAATCAGGCTGTGCTGAAGCTGACCAGGCTGTTTGCTGCAAGGAGGTAAATTGCTGGGAGTCAGAGGCCGGCGGGTGGGGGCCAGCGTGTGGGCGGGGCTTCGGCAACATTCACTCTATAAGACGCACAGACATTTCCATCCACTTTGGGGGGGGGGGCGGGAGTGCATCTTATAGACCAAAAAATGCAGTACTTATAGTAAAAGAAAATGAAAGAATAGTACTTGAAACTGATGTCTAATAGGGCACCAATTTTGAAGTGTGCTGCTGCTACTGGTAGCTATATTTGAATGTTTTAATATGAAAATTCCAATTACCATCTTTCAAAGTTGATAACAGAAGATTGTTCTTTATAATTATCAGGTTGTTGAAACACTTAAGAAATGAACTTCAGGTCCTGAATCTTAAGTGCTTTCTTAATGCAACGTTGTCATTGTTATTCGATAGAGTTCATTAAGGCTGATCTATTTTAGGGCTTTTATTATCTTTGATTTACAGTGTCGAGATTTTCTCTTGACCTTTTTGAACAGCTATTTAACATTCAGTCCTTTTATCATAGTAAGGGTGATGATATGCAGGCTAGAGTGAAAAGTACACAGATTTTAGTATTCATAAGGAGCCTAAAGCTGGGTTCACAAACACGGACTTACTCCAACCCCGAATTAACAAAACGATCCCTCTCCTGACTCCAGTATATTATTTTACGCTCCAATTAAACATATTATGGCTTAACATGATGACAGGTTCATCCAACTTCTTAAGCAAGGGATGAGGTTCCTTGAGGGAAAGGGAAGGGATGAGACGATGGATCACAAATTCTCCAGCCCCATTTATCTTAATATTTGTGCAACCTATCGGGCACAAAGGATCAGGACCATAACTTAAGTTGCAGCACAGAAGATTTATTCAAGCCCATAAGTAAGGATCTAATGATCAGCACTAAAGGATCAAAGGAATATAAGAGGGGCTGGACCAGGGGTGAAATCCAATTTTTTTTTATTACCAGTTCTGTGGGCGTGGCTTGGTGGGCATGGTTTGGTAGGAGAAGGATACTGCAAAATCTCCATTCCCTCCCCACTCCAGGGGAAGGATACTGCAAAATCCCCATTCCTTCCCCACTCCTGGGGGAAGGATACTGCAAAATCTCCATTCCCATCCCACTCTGGGGCCAGCCAGAGGTGGTATTTGCGGGTTCTCTGAACTACTCAAAATTTCCGCTACCGGTTCTCCGAACTGCTCAAAATTTCCGCTACCAGTTCTCCAGAACCTGTCAGAACCTGCTGGATTTCACCCCTGGGTTGGATTTGAATTGTTTGTGGCAGCGTAAGGATTCTAAGCTGATGACATGTTTAACTCTGCCCCCAACTCTGCATGCACTTCTCCTACATAAGCCTAGTCATAATGTGTACAGGTAGTCCTCGATTTATGATTACAATTGGGACCAGAATTTCCATTTCTAAGCAAGGGCAGTTGTTAAATGAATTGCACTCAATTTTACAATCTTTTTTTTTTTTTGGGCACGCTTGTTACGTGAAACATGCAGTTGTTAAGCGAACCTGGCATCTCCCATTGACTTTGAAGCTGGCTGAGAAGGTCAGAAATGGTGATCACCTGACATTGGGAGGCTGCCACCCTTGTAAATACATGCTAGTTGCCAAGTGCCTAAATTGTGGTCATGTTGTTGTGACGGTTGTAAGCGCGAGCATCCATTCTAAGTCCCTTTTTTCAGTGCTGTTGTAACTTCAAATGGTCACTAAATGAATAGTTGGAAGTCGAGAACTGTCTATAAATGGACAGACTACGTACATAACTTAAGCTTTGGGGATTTGTGTTTTAAACTGTCCTGACGCTTTCATTTTTATTTTTGACATTAAATCAAACTTTTTGATCCAACAACAGTCTCCCCATGATAGGCTATTAATTTAAAGGTCAGTTTTTTCCTCTGTTCTCCATTTCTGACATTTTTAAAAGTTGCTGGTCACCATAAAGGGCGTGCGTTGATTTGCTAAGCAGCATGCAATTAAAAGTTAGACACTTTTTTGTTGTTGTTTGATTCCGGCGGATACTATTTTGTCACTGGGAATTAAAAGCTGCATTTCATGAAGAATAGAAGAGTGGTGTGGTAGCCTAGAGGTGGAGCTCCCACCTCACAATCAGGAGGCTGTGAGTTCGATCCTAGGCAGAGGCAGATATTTCTCTCTCTGGGCACATTGAGAATAGATCTGCTGAATATAACTCTGCATTGGCAACAGGAAGGGCGTCCGGCCAGTAAACACTCAGCTCCATGCAGTTGCCCAGACTCCACCCCGCAAGGGATTATGGGGGTCATTAAATGGAGATGATTTCATGAAGGACAGATCAAATGTTTGTTGGTGGGTTTGTTTTTTCCTAAGGGAATTAGGGACGCTGTGTCTGGTGCAAATAGATTGAAAGTTTTGGCTAATATAATCCTAGGCAGGGGTGAAATCCAGCAGGTTCTAACAGGTTCTGGAGAACCGGTAGCGGAAATTTTGAGTAGTTCAGAGAACCGGCAAATACCACCTCTGGCTGGCCTCAGAGTGGGGTGGGAATGGAGATTTTGCAGTATCCTTCCCCCAGGAGTGGGAAGGGAATGGGGATTTTGCAGTATCCTTCCTCTGCCATGCCCACCAAGCTACGCCCACAGAACTGGTAGGAAAAAATTTTGAATTTCAACCCTGATCCTAGGCCACGTACCTACACACATACTCACTTTGTGGAGCTCAAGGAACAATGGCCTTGAATTTCTCGACCAGCCATTCCTGATGTGGCTTGTTAGATGCTGTTCAACACTCAAAAGGAGCCTGGATAGCTCAGCAGACTAATGCATTGTAATTTAACTCCAGCTGTCTGCAATTAGTAAGTTCGAATCTTGACAGGCTCAAGGTTGACTCAGCCTTCCATCCTTTCTAAGGTAGGTAAATTGAGGACCCAGTTTGTGGGGGCAATAAGCTGACTTTGTATAAAATATACAAAAGTATGAAGGCTATTGCTTAACGCCTTGTAAGCCGCCCTGAGTCTCCGGAGAAGGGCGGCATATAAATCAAATTAAAAAAAAAATCTTTAGTTGCAACCAAAATGGGGTTGTTTTTAATAATAGCACCAGAATGATATCTTTTATCCAACTTCTGTTATATGATGGGGACAATTGTCAAATCCATCTGGAGGAAAACACCCTGGGAAAGAGGGATCTATGGTCATTTTTTTTAAGTAAAGTAGTCAATATAATTAGGATCCAGTGACGATGGTGAAAGGTGGAAGACAGAGAGAGGAAAAAATCCCTGACAGTCTTGATATAGGACCAACAGTAATCCAGGTAGTCCTCGACTTTCGACCACAGTTGAGCCCAAAATTTATGTTGCTGAGTGAGAAATTTGTTAAGTGAGTTTTGCCCCAGTTTATGACATTTCTTGCCACAGTTGTTGTTAAGTTAGTCACACAGTTGTTAAGTGAATCTGGCTTCCCCATTGACTATGCTTGTCAGAAGGTCGCAAAAGGGGATCCTGGGACACAGCAACCATCACAAGTATGAACCAGTTGTCAAGCATCCGGATGTAAATCATATGACCATGGGGATGGTGCAATGGTCATAAGTGTAAAAAATGGCCATGTCACTTTTTTCAGTGCCGTTGTAACTTCAAATGGTTACTAAACAAATTGTTGTAAGTCGAGGACTATCTGTAGTGTTAACCAAAAATAGAGACAAAACCCAAACAATAAGTAACATTAATTAGGGGCTACAATGTTAAGTATACACTTCTATGTATGTGTATCAATTTCCCCCTCTTTATTTCTGGTTCTTTTTCTACATAATAGTTATATATATATATATATAAATCAAAATACCACTCATGCATCAAATCTCCAGAACCGTAAAGCCTACAGACTTGAAATTTGACACATATGTTTCTCTTGGCTTCAAGGTGCTCACTAAGAAATGACCATCAGATCATTAGTATTTCTTATATTATTAACACGCTCTGATGCTAAGGAGTTAGATGTTCTACTCCCTCTCCCCACCTGAAAAGAACTCTGTTCCAACTGCCACTTGGATGTGGGCGTGGCCAGCGCATGACTCATCCGGCCTGCTGGCTGGGTAACTGGGGAGAGGAGAGGCTTCTGTGGGGCCAGCCTGAGGGAGAGAAGGGGAGAGGAGAGGCCGATCGTAACTACTCATTAATGTTCAAGCTTTAACTGTCAATTTATCAAGCCTGATCACATACTTTCGTTGTGAAGCATGGGTATCCAGCTACTAGTCAAATATACAGGTAACCCTCAACTTACAACCATTTGATTAGTGACTGTTCAAAGTTACATTGGCACTGAAAAAAAAGTGCCCATTTTTCACACTTACAACTGTTGCAACATCTCCGTGGTCACATGATCAAAATTCAGACACTTGGCCACTGACTCACATTTATGACGGTTGCAGCGTCCCGGGGTCATTTTTGCAACCTTCAATGAGGAAGGCCGATTCACCCAACAACCGTGTTACTAACTGACCAACCGCAGTGATTCATTTAACAACTGGGCAAGAAAAGTCTAAAAGCGGGGCAAAACTCACTTAGCAACTGCCTTGCTTAGCAATGGGAATTTTGAGTTCAGTTGTGGTCGTACGTCGAGGACTACCTATATACCACATTAAAGAAATGAAAGGGGAGGCCTATGGCAGTGTCCTGAGTGGTTATTCTACCTTCTCTTTTCCTTTATCCAAATAATCCGATAAATTCGTTGAAGTGGATCTAATCTGCAGCTTCTTCCTCTCTATTTACGCAGGAACATTATTGATGGTAGACAGCGAGGAAGAGTATTTCCCAGAAGAAATAATCAAGCTGAGAAGGGATGTTGACAACGGACTGTCGCTCGTGGTGTTCAGCGATTGGTACAACACCTCCGTGATGAGGAAGGTCAAGTTTTATGATGAAAACACGAGGTGAGAGAGGTTGGAACCTGTTGCAAAACGGTTGTCATTTCCAAGGTTATTTATCGATGGGGAAGAAGGGCAACTAAATGGCAGAGATATGTGTGGGTGGGAGGGGGAGATAGATTTTTTTTAAAAAATTTGATTTATATGCTGCCCTTCTCCGGAGACTCAGGGCGGCTTACAATGCATTAAGCAATAGCCTTCATCCTTTTGTATATTTATACAAAGTCAGCTTATTGCCCCCACAAACTGGGTCCTCATTTCACCTACCTTAGACAGGATGGAAGGCTGAGTCAACCTTGAGCCTTGGCGAGATTCGAACCCTGCAGTAATTGCAGGCAGCTGGTCTTAATAACCAGCTTAATAACAGGGTGCCTTAAACCCCTGTACCAGCAAGGCTCTTGGTGGGCGAGGAGACCCAAAGGTGCTTTTTCAGGAAAAATTACCACAAAATTACCACTGCAACACTCAATGGAGAATTCAACTGGTTAAAAGTCTGTAAAGATTCTCCATCATCCAGGCCGTGATTCTCCCAAAAGGTGCTTTTTCAGGAGGCAACTGGACTTGTTTTTTCTTTTGAAGACATTTCGCTTCTCATCCAAGAAGATTCTTCAGCTCTGACTGGATGGTGGGGAATAGAAGGATTTATATTCCTGGCAGACAGCTGGTCATTTGCATCCTTTTAGAGGGTCGTTGAGGCCCCTTGGAGGTTTACCTGTGTCCTCAGGGTCACCTGAGTAGTGCAAATGGTTCCTGTAGTCTGCAATTGTTTCTCTGGAAATCCGTTCCTACTCCCACACCATTCCAAGGGTCTTCATCCCAAATTGTATAGCTAAACACCTGTAGAGATTCTCAGCCATCCAGGTCATGGTTGTCCCAAAGGTGACAGGAGCCTTGGAAGTACAGTGGTCTAAGGCTCCCTGTTATTAAGACCAGATGCCTGCAATTACTGCAGGTTCGAATCTCACCAAGGCTCAAGGTTGACTCAGCCTTCCATCCTTTCTAAGGTAGGTAAATTGAGGACCCAGTTTGTGGGGGCAATAAACTGACTTTGTATAAATATACAAAAGAATGAAGGCTATTGCTTAGCACATTGTAAGCTGCCCTGAGTCTCCGGAGAAGGGCGGCATATAAATTAATTTTTTTTTTTTAAAAAAAAGGTGCTTTTTCAGTAGGCAACTGGACTTTTCCTGTTTTTTCTTTGAAGACGTTTCGCTTCTCATCCAAGAAGCTTCTTCAGCGCTGAAGAAACACCTTCAAAAGAAAAAAACCCAGAAAGTCCAGTTGCCTCCTGAAAAAGCACCTTTGGGACAACCATGACCTGGATGACTGAAAATCTCTCTAGATTTTGATGGGTGGGGGGATTTTTAAGGGAAGGCAGTGGAAGAACCGAGGCTGAGGGTTGGGAGGGACCAAGCTGGGAATGGTTTGGATTGGGGGCAGGTCCTCTGGTAATGATTGGTGGGATACAGTTAATGACAGAAATGGGAAAGAAAGGCGGGATTGCTGTTGCTAAGCAATGAGGTCATGTGACATCAGAGTTTACAGAATTACAGGTACAACTGCATCGCTTAGCAGCGGCAATCCCAGTTTTGCTGCCGTAACCTGAAGCATATGGTAGCTGCGGTGGCGCAGTGGTTAGAATGCAGTACTTCAGGCTACTTGTGCTGACTTCCGGCTGCCACCAGTTCGATTCTGACCGGCTCAAGGTTGACTGACTCAGCCTTCCATCCTTCCGAGGTGGGTAAAATGAGGGCCCAGATTGTTGGGGGCCATAGGCTGACTCTGTAAACCACTTAGAGAGGGCTGTAAAGCACTGTGAAGCAGGATATAAGTCTAAGGACTAGTGCTAAATACAGGTAGTCCTCGATTTAGTCCACAATCGAGCCCAACATTTCTGTTGTTAAGGGAAACACTTGTTAAGTGAGTTTTGCCCCATTTTGCGGCCTTTCTTGCCATGGTCATTAAGCAAATCACTGCAGCGGTTAAGTCACATAGTTGTTAAGTGAATCTGGCTTCCCCATTGATGTTGAGTGTCAAAAAGTCGCAAAAGGGGATCACATGACCCCGGGACATGGCAACGGCCATAAGTACAGACCACTTGCCCAGCAGCTGAATTTTGATCATATGACCTCAGGGATGCCACAAAGGTTGTAATGGTGAAAAATGGTCATGTCACTTTTTTTCAGTCCCGTGTAACTTTGAACGGTCACTAAATGAACTGTTGTAAGTTGAGGACTAACTACCATATTTTTCAGAGTATAAGACGCATCCTTTTCCCCCAAAAAAGAGGGTGAAAATTTGGGTGTGTCTTATACTCCTAATGTAGCTCCGCCCCGCCTTGCAAACAGAGGTTTCAGAGGCTGAAAGAAGCCTCTGAAAGAAGCTTCAGAAAAAAAGCCTCAGAAACGAAGCTTCAGAAAAAAAGCCTCTTTTATCTAAAAATAATATGGCAAGCAACAAAACAAGAATCAGTAAAGGTTCTAATCAAACTATGCTAACAAATCTGGAGAATGACACAAAAACCAACAGATCGGAAGAGGTTAACCTATATAGCAATACCAAAGAAAGAAGATTGAACAGAGTACAGGTAGTCCTTCAGAATAAAAGCCTCTGAAAGAAGCTTCAGAAAAAAAGCCTCCAAAAAGAGCTTCAGAAAAAAAAGCCTCCAAACAGAGCTTCAGAAAAAAAGCCTTTTTTTCTGAAGCTCTGTTTCGGAGGCTTTCAGAGGCAGAAAAAAGTTTTTTCTGAAACAGAGTTTCAGAAGTTTCAGAAGCAAAAAAAAAGCAAGGCACAGAGCTCACAACCAAGGAACCTGTTGCTATTCACCTCTGGGAACAGCTGATTGGGGGTATTCCGGGAGCCAATCCACCCACCAATCAGCTTTTTGCTTATTTTCCTCCCCAAAAACTAAGGTGCGTTTTCCAGCCCTCTGCTCCTGCAATCCACCTCTGGGTTCTCTTCTTCCTCGCTTCCTATTGACTGGGTGATTCTTTTTAACTGTCTCTCCGTGCTGTGGCCATGCCCACTTTCCCATGATGCACCAGTCTTTTCACTCAGTCGCTGACTGACTGGTGTGATTTTCTCTTCGTGCTCATTTTTGGAGAATTTAGCAGTTTGCGTTAGGTTTTTTATTTATTTTTCTTAGTGATTTTTTGTCTGATCGGTGAGAGCCTCTCTTGGTGAGCTGCGGGGCGCGAGATAGGTGCCTGGGGAGCCGGCACGTCCTCCGCCCGGGGGATTCGCATTTCTGACAGCAGCTCGGGTTACCGGCCCTTCGGGGCGGTTCCCTCCCTTATTTCTAGCCGCCGGTGTGGAGCGCGGGGGTTTGCGATTGCCGCATCTCCTCCCTCACACCAACTTTCTGCACGTTATTTTTGGGCTCTCTTAGGGCGGCTCCGGAGTGCTCCGCAAGGTTTGCCCTGCGGCCTCTGACGTGGTATTCAATTTCTCACCGCTGCCGTTTGTGTGTGCTGCGATCCATTTGTCAGCCTTTCAAAGTTGCCGCTCGGGGCTTCAGGCGCCCAGGCAGAGTCGGAGACTTCGCTCCAGCCCGCAGCCTCGTGGAGAGTGTCGGCTGCTGCGGCGGTGAGATTGTGCTGACGCCCGTCCCTCGGGCGGCGTCCAGCGAAGCTTGCCGTTGATCCCTATTTGGACGCGAGTTCCAGCCGCCTGTGTTGCCGCCATTTCTGAACGGCCCAAGGCCGCCATTTTGTCGCCGTTTTCCTGGCAGCGATTTGGCGGGCGCCATTTTGAACGGCTAAGTCGCCCTTTAAAGGCCGTTTTTTTCCTGGGTCACCCTCTCTCTAAGCCATATAGTAGTTGGGGTATACGCCTGCTTGTCAGCCTGCCCAGTTAAGTGGACCAGCTGTCTGTTGTCCCACTAATCTTATTGGAGCCTGGACAGTATTTATTAATTCCCTGTGACATTGTGTCCAGCCTGTGTTTTTTTCCTGGCGGAGGTAGCTTTGGCTGGGCTGCTTCGGCCACCCTCGCAGTTAAAGAGGGCTAAGTGTATATAGTTCAGCTTGTGTTTGGATATATATATATTAAAAAAAAAAAAAAAAAGAAGTTAAATATTATAAAAGTTATTTTTATTACATTTTTATATATATATATATATATATATATATATATATATAAAAAAAAACCGGTTGATTATATTTAATCTTTTTAGTCATGGCAGATGCCTTTTTTTCCTCTGATGAGGAGCGTGAGCCCAGCCCCCCTAGGGCTCCACCCAAGCACAAGTCCAAATCTCGTAGCGGGGCCGTGTCTGCTCCTGAGGACTCACGCCAGCCTAAATCATCGGCAGCGGCGGATAAGGACGCACAACGACGCCACAGGGCTCTGGAGCGCCAATATGACAAGGCCAGGCAGGCCACTTTGGCCTCTGTTTTTCCGACTGGCCAGAATCCACCACCTTTGGCGCCTGCGTCTGGCGGGGCCCAGGCGCCTGATCCACCACAGCCAGGTACCTCTGGACAGCTGTCAAAAAGAGCTTCAATCTCGTTGCCTGATGTTTCATCGGTGGGCTTGTTCAACCCCGCTCCCCCTCCTGTTTCTCGCCCTGAGGCGACTTTCACACCAACCGCCGCTGGTCTTCACGGGGCTGATGGACAATTATTGCATCCCCAGATGGACTTGCAGTTTTTGCTGTCTAACGCCTTGTCTTCAATTTTGGCCGCGGGAATCCAGCAACCATCCTTGCCTCTTGTACAGATGGCCCCCCATCAGGTGCCACAACCTCCTATGGCACCGACTCCGAGGCCTTCTCACCTTTTGGCGCCTGATTCTTCGGATGAATCCGATCAGGGGGAGAATGTTGTGGAGGATTTAGAATTTTCAGAGGACGAGGGCCTCGCTCCTGATGTTCCGGCCTTTACGGGGCTGTTCAGGCCTTCATTGTTTAAATCTCTTCTACATAAGGCTCGTCAGGTCACTAACATGTCTGCTTCTGCGCCTGCAACATCTGAGACTGCGTCCGCGTCGAACCCCCACGAGGCCTT